AAGAAGAAAGAAGGATAAGATTGCGCTGTAAACGGACGTAAACACAGAGAGCAGAGCTTAGTCTTTGACTCGTTGCCAACTTGGACATCCCATGTCTTGTTTTGTATTGCTTTTGGTTTTATATATAATCTCTATATATATATATATATATTTTGCCTTAACCTTCACCGAACATGCATGATAGTATAATTATATAAAAACTTGTATATGTTCATATTATGTTATTATAAAACAAGGGAAATTTGTTCAAGGGTGGATTCGGTATTTTTGAATGGGGGTAGTATGCTAAATTTTTTTTTAGGTGGGCTTCGCCTACCCTGAATCCGCCAATAAATTTGTTACACAATGATTTTATCACTTCAAAACTCAAAGGAGGGAGGAGAGGTTTAATTAATCTTTATACTAAAAGTGTATCCAAGCTTTACTCATTTAAACTTTTTTTTTTTTTTTTTTTGAATTATATACTTATAAAATTTTAAAATTGTCCCTACTGAAATTTCAAAAGAATCTCAATATTGCCCTCATTTCATGGTTTGAAATTTTTTATCTTCTTATTGTTAAAGGCACTCCCTAATTTTCTAAGTCCATCCTCCTTAATTGTCCAAAGTCCCGAGTAAAGATTACATAATCTTCTACATGCTGAGGAAGCTCTTAGAAAAGGAATTCTATTAGTTTTGTTAGAGTCTATATATATTGTGTATTATTTTATAGATTACTATAAGATAACATTTTTCAAAACTTGCAAAATTGATCAAGTAACAATTACATCATGAGAAAAATCAGTAGTACAATTTTTATTTTATTTTTTATCAAGATAAATATTTTGAAAAACTAGTAAAGGATCAGACGATCTACATTATAAGTAAAATTAAGGATGAAAATTTGAATTTAAATCACAAAAGTTGAGTGCTTAATATTATTTATAATACATAATGAGTAGAGTTAAATTTTAAAGTCTTTTCATTCTTGTCGAATATTGTAGAGAAAAATGGAGATTAGAAGACACAGAAGTTGATATATTGAAAATTATTGTAATGCATCTTAACCCTCTCTCCATGAAAAAATGATTCTTTCTTCTTAGGACTAGTTTGGTGTGGTTGAATGAAATAAAGTGGGAATAGAATAAATCAAAGAATGAAATGACCATTCTCATTCTTATTCTCATGTTTGATTACACAGAAAAACATCATATTTTTGCAAAACATATATATGTGTGTGTGTCGCTGATGTTTCATTAAATATTTTATTTGTTTAATTTTTTTTAAAATAAGAATAGAATGATCATTCTTTTGGTTAAAAAGTGAAATAAATTAATGAGAATTGCTATTTTTAAAGAATGGACAAAAATTATTGTTCCAACTTACTTACCAAATTTAAGAATAAAAACAAAAATATTGCATTTCCACTCTATTTAATTTCGTTCACTCACTCCAAGTATTGGCCTTGATTATCAAAGTGTTCAATTTCGTACAGGTTGGTGCCAACCCTTAAAAAGTGTTCAGTAACATCAGTCTCATGGTTGTCACTGTCATCACACGTGTCATTGTTAGTCACTTGAACATTCAACGGTCAACCATAAAGATGATTTGCTCCATCGACGAAGTTCTAACTCGCTCATTCATTTATACGTTAAAAAATTAATTGGATTCGGTGAACCTAAACATTAAGAAACAAAAAGTGATAAATGTAACATTAATGGGTTGGTTGTTATCAAGTGAGCAACAAGAGTGTTGAAAAAAATATGTGTTTTTAAAATTTTATCAAACCTATTTGATTTATATATGCAGCGAATTTATAGTGAAAATAACCCTTAATGTTTGACTTCAAATCGTAACAGGATAATATTTTTTTTCCTAATGATTAAGACACATAAATTTTTTTTTTTTTTTTTTAAAATTAATGTACATAATATTTGATATATGTTTTGTATAACTTTTACAAGAGAGAAATGAGATTAATAATCAGCTAATTCAATTTTATTACGATTAAACCAATATAGAAGCATCACCAAAAGTTATACGTAGGAGTGGCATGCAATTCGTATTTGTTAATCATAATTATGTCAATATAAAGGTGTTTTACTAAATAGGTAAATCCAAACTCGACCCATTTAATAATCGCGTCAGAAACTCTCAATACTAACCCAACCTATTTATTAAATGGGCTAATATTAACCCGTTAAATGACTTGTTTATCAAAACGAGACATTTAATATTCAATAAAATAATTAATACTTTTTTTTTTTTTTGGTCACAATTAACCTAAATATTCAAAATCATAAGGCTTAGTCAAGGTTTATGTTAAAACGACTTAACTGTTTATAATATTTGGGTTTAAATAGGTGACATATTACATATGTCATATTCATGATTATGAAATGTTGAGTTAAACAGGTTATAAGTGTTAAATCCCTTCAACTCTAATTCTACATGCTTAAATAAATGGGTTAATCGTGTCAACCCGCTTATAATCCGAATTTGTTTAAGGTTAACTTAAATTCGCTTAATTTGTATCGTGTTCCAGTCGTGTTGGCGAATTGTATCGTAATTTGCCACCCCCAGTAATAAGTTATACAGTATATAAGTTTTAACTCACTAATACTTCTCACCTTCAAATCCTATCAAGATAATAATGTAACCAATATTTGATATAGGTTTTCAACTTTAAAAAAAAAAAACAGAAAAGAAAAGATGAATAATCAATTAATTCAATTTATTTCAATTAAATCAATATTGAAGGATCACTAAAGGTTGTCGCATGGTAATGCTTTCACATTTTTAGATCAAGTAAAAAGTAGATGATTGACGTATTTATGACAAAGTGAGTGTTTCATATTTTAATAAATATATAAGTAAAAAGAGCATTCATTTCTTACTTTTATGAGGAAAAAGTAAAGAGACACAAAATAAGTAAAAATAATTATAGCAAAATTACGCATGTGGGGAAAATATTTACTTTTTTTATTATTTTTTATAATATTAATTTATTATAATTCTAGAAAATCACTTCATTTCACATTGACGCAAACCAAATCAAATGGCTATAACAATGTTTTGATACCACAATGTGCAATTCAGGCGGGTTAAACTAATTAAGATTGTTCTTAAGAACTGTTCAAATAATCGGATCTGATTTAAACCAACACAAAACCCTTTTCAATTTGTGGTTTTGTGGCTCCACGTCCTGGTTCTGATTTAAAAATTGAAAATAATAAGAAATTTTTTGAATATAATTTGAACAGAACCATGATATTTATACATACATTTATAATTGATTTCATTTGATTGGTTGATAAAATTTGCTACATAGGCTTGCATTGTATTGAATCAATGTTTTACATATAATGTATACTTTTTCCAACCTTAACCCTCATTCACAGGAACATATTAATAAAACGTTGTTTTATTTTTTGTGGGTAATGTTACATTATTGCTATGTTAAAAGAAGATTTTAGTAGCTATAAATGCATTTTGATTAAAAGCAGTAATAATTAAAATTAATTTTATGAGATTATATTTAGATTACAAAAAGTGGATTGAATGAGGTTTGATTTAGAGTAAAAGCAGTAATAAATAAAATTAATTTTTAGGAGTAAAACCTAACTCATCTAAAATGTTTCGTACTATTTAGATTAACTCGTTTTATCTGGTTCGATTTCATTTTTTGAAGATTGATTGGGACAACTTTAGTGATGACTCAAATACTCACCCTTTCACTTTGGGAAATTGTGGAGATATTACTAGAATATGCTATTATGTTCGTGTTACCCTCTAAATTAAACCAAATCAAATTGTGTGTACCCTATTTCAGAAATGCAACTTGGGTAGACTAATTTTGATCTCAAGTGACTAACTAAATTTATGAACATATTTAGATAGATTTGTTTAATTTTGGTTAATATTTTCCGTCCCATCTCACTTTGGGTTGAAATTTCACGTTGAACAAGACCAAAACCACATTGAGTCGAGTGGAAGCAATTGCTTCTACTAGAATTTATACGCAGAAAAAAAAAAAAAAAAAAAAGGTTAAATTTTCTTTTAAACCTATTATTCTTAATCAATCCCTAAAGTAAATTTTTGGCTCCGTTATTGCGTGAAAGCTTCGAGCACCACATGACTCCCACTCTAAAAGTGCTAGAAGCTTTCAAAACTCGACGAGACGAATATGTTTTTATAATCACATTATTAATAATTTGACTCTAGCCCGATTAAATTAGGTCATATAAGTAGTCACATATGGATGTTTTGATAGTCTAATGGGTTAGTGTCTCTGATGACTTTTGGAGTGTCCAGCTTCAATTATCTGTATCTACTAATCTAATTTTATGATATAGCACTTAATACATTTACTTACATGTTGAGTTGTGATGTGCAAAATCTTATGATCACCGAACATTAAAAAACAAATTTTAAAAAATTAAAAAAATTCCTTTTAAGAATGAAGAGGAATATATCAATGAAAATTTGGAATACCTTTTACTTTGGTTATATCCCAATGGTAAAGTAGACCACTCCTTAGTTCCACATTTCCTTATTAGAACACTTAATTTGGTTAATTTACACAGACATATTCTACTTTCATTTTTAAAAAAAATATCATGTTTGAAAAACTGTGACAGTTTAATTTGTGAAAGTCTCCCTTCCCCTAAAAGTTACATTTTTTATGAAACCAAACAATTACTTAAAAAAAGAAAAAGAAAAAAATAAAAATAAAAAAAAATAATCAGAGTGACACACACATATAAACCAAATTACTGGCTGGTATAAAGTGGTTTTACTGCGACTTTATCCAATATATATCTCTAAATTTATTGGGACCTCCAAAAGCTGACCCAAAGTTCCGCTTCTCCGTTATACAATTTTGGCCGTTTACTTACCGTCCAGTGTCAGACACTCTGTGTGTGTATCTGTGTGTGAATGTGTGTGTCACCACCTCCCACTCCCTCTTTATATAAAGCACCCACTCCATCCTCATCTCTTTAGAGAGAGAGAAACAACAAAGGTTGTTTAGAGTGAGAAATACAGAGTGAGCTCTATGGATACCAACCATGGCTCCTCCTCTTCTTTCTCTTCCTTCAAGTCCTACTTCACTGCCCTCGCGGACACCCCTCGCCGGCTCTCTCGCCGGGCTGGTTCGGTCTCCACCTGTTTCGAAGAGATGAGCCGGGTGAAAGCCCGGTCCGGTTCGGACATGAGAAAAACTCTCAGGTGGTTCGACCTCGTAGGCTTTGGCGTCGGAGGAATGGTCGGCGCCGGTGTCTTCGTCACCACCGGCCGCGCCAGCCGCCTCTACGCCGGCCCAGCTGTTGTGCTGTCCTACGCCATTGCCGGCCTCGGCGCTCTCCTCTCTGCCTTCTGCTACACCGAATTCGCCGTCGAAATGCCCGTCGCCGGTGGCGCCTTCAGCTACATCAGAATCACTTTTGGTTCGCATCAAATTACACACTGCAAAACCCATTTTGTCTATACATATATATACATACAAATGATTCTCTGTAGATTTATTTACAGTTATCTGATGTAAATTTTCAGGTGAATTTGCGGCATTTCTGACCGGAGCGAATATAATTATAGACTACGTGCTGTCAAACGCTGCCGTGGCGAGGAGTTTCACGGCGTACTTAGGCACGGCGATTGGCATATCAACCGAAACGAAATGGAGGGTCACAGTCTCTGGACTCCCAAAAGGGTTCAACGAAATCGACATCGTCGCCGTCGCTGTCGTCTTAATCCTCACTCTCATTATCTGTTACAGGTTCACAATCATCAAACCCAAACCCATCATCAACATTCATAAAAACTCAAATCACTCACATATCATCTAACCCATTTTCGAACGATTGATTTTCAGCACGAAAGAGAGTTCGGTTTTGAACTTGGTGTTGACGGCGCTTCACCTTTTGTTCATCGTCTTCGTGATAGTGGTTGGGTTCTCGAGAGGCGAGTGGAAGAATTTCTCGGAGCCATCCGACCCGAAACACCCGGATGGGTTCTTCCCGTTCGGAGTTTCGGGTGTCTTCAATGGTGCTGCGATGGTTTACCTGAGTTATATTGGATACGACGCCGTTTCGACCATGGCTGAGGAAGTCAGAAACCCGGTTAAGGATATCCCTATCGGAGTCTCGGGCTCCGTTATCCTCGTTACCATTCTCTACTGCTTAATGGCTGCTTCAATGTCCAAACTCCTCCCTTATGACATGGTAACCTAATGTTTAATCTTAATGAATAGTAATTAATTATCAAATTTGAAATGACGTAATTGACCTTTGGATTTTTGGGTGTTGTTTGGTTTTGATCGAGTGTTGCGGTGATCATGCAGATTGATACGGATGCACCGTTTTCCGGGGCGTTTAGGGGAGAATCCAACGGCTGGAGATGGGTGTCCAATGTGATAGGGGTGGGGGCCAGTTTTGGGATATTGACGTCTATGATGGTGGCGATGTTGGGGCAGGCTAGGTATATGTGCGTGATCGGACGGTCCAAAGTAGTCCCTGCGTGGTTTGCTAGGGTCCACCCGAAGACATCAACACCTGTCAACGCTTCCGCTTTCCTTGGTACGTTTTCTAAGATGAAGATGCGTAATATCTTGTACGTATGTTGGCATTTTCAATTTGATTTGTTTGTTTGTTTGTTTTTGAAGTTTGGAACCTTAGGCAGTTGTGATTTTGGGACCCACCTTGAACCGTTTCAGTTATTGGAGTAAAAGACTCCCCTCATATTGTCCATCGTAGACTCGTACGATAGTGTCACGAGAAAATGCTTGCTCAACTTTATGAGTTCCATAAAATGAATTTAGGTAACGGTAAAATTTATGAGTTTTTACTTCATCATACGAATTAGGTTAAAAATCAGTATTTGCATATTTTCTCTCCTCTGTTGAATAAGATTAGTCTAGATAATATCTTAACTCAATTATTAGATTAAACGTATCTACATATTTTCGTGACCGTCCAATCTTATTTATTAAGTAAGGTTTGTTGGTGTAGGAAGTATCTGTCCCAATTACTAGATGAGGTTGGAATAGTAACGGTAGTCAGAATATTATGATTGTTGCAGTTGAATGAAATGAATTTAGGAAATGGTAAAATTTACGAGCCTTGTTTCAGCAGGTCATGACCGTTTTGTTGAAACATTACTATTATTGTGGTTAGCCTTGTTTCATTCAATGAATTAGATTTTAGCAGGTCATGACCGTTTTGTTGAAACATTACTATTATTGTGGTGGTTTAATCTCTTTTGTAATATAGTTCAAGAATGTGAATGAAATTATAGGATGTTGACAAGATATGCTAAGATATGTTTTGTCTCATTTATAGAATGAGAAAGGCGTCGCATTTTAAATAAAAGATTGGATTGAAATAACGGGTGAAAGCGTTGCTAGCAACCATAAATGTAATGACTACTACCATTGTTCATCATGAGTCATCAACCACGGTGGGATTGATGTTTTTTGTGGCCTGTGTGGGACATGGTTGAAGATGTCGATTGGTGATGTATATATGGTTTTGTTTGGCGAATTAGAAAGGGTCCACCGCTTGGCTTCGCGTCAACATCTGGACCATCAAAATCTGTATGTCGGCCCGTGGAGTTGAACTACATTTGGTGGTGATCTTTTAACAGATGTGGAAGCCACCCGCACTAGTGTGTGTGTTTGATTGATGAGGAAATGGCTTTTTAAAAAAAAGTTGTCTATAGTGCTGTCCATTTTGGTGATGTGAAATGGTTTTTTTTGAGATATGTGCAATTGTAGGTATGATCAAATTCAATAGTTGTGATTTTTTTAGGATTGTGTAGAGAAAAAGAGGTGATATTTTGCATTGATAAGAATTCACCTTATTTTGGGATTTTGGTTTTATTGGGACATTTGTAGAGCCATCTAGGTCAACTTGAGAGTGAATGTGGTAGATCACTGAAGAAGACAAGTTTATACTACTTGTAGGTTGCAGATTAATTCAAATTATCTAGGTCTTGTCAATCTGTCAAAACTATAATCTTTAAAGGTGCTACATTAGAAATTTAGAATTATTATCTAATCTTGTTAAACAACCTATCATTTTCGCAAGATACCTCAGCTTGAATCCATTGGCTGGAAAATCCAAAATTATTAGATTGTCCTCGTTAAGATTTTCAAGAATATATTAGATATTAGATATTAGGTTATTTAATGCGGTTTTACTAGGGATGAGGGAAAAAATTCTTTTAGTGGCAATTCAACTCGTGGAGAATAGATAAATGTCATGAGTGGTGCTGTGACTTGAATATTTAGGATGTTACCATATAACAATTGTGGAAAATTCTTTAATTTCTACGACTTTTCTAAAATTACTCTATACATCCCCAACTATCTCGACGTAATTGTAGAAAAAATCTAGAAATAACGACATGAGTTTGCTAGACACCGTGCATTACCTAATAAGCACTTGTCACAAATCTTGGCGGGGTGTGTCACTAGGGACATAGTCATCTTCTCGTCTTTTACAGTGAAAGGTAGAGAGTTCAAGTCTCTCCCCCAAAAGTGGAATTTTCTTGTCGGGGAAAATAAATAAATAAATGTGGTGCTGCATTGTGCTACCTTTACTTTTATATTGTGTCCAGGACTTACATGTGATACTCTGATAAAATGATGGCACCGCCGTGAATCTTTGACCTTTTGATATTCTGTGTGAAATGCCACCAAGTTAGGTAGAGGGTGTCTAGGGATTAGACCTTAGGTATGCCCATTTGGTGCATTTGACTTCTCAAATTCTCTAGGAATTTCATCTCTGTTTTGTATAAGTAAAGATTCACTAGGTGTTTCGCTTTATGGTCTTGATTGTGTTACTCTACATGATGGGCTAACAGATTAATCTAATTTTGGTTCAGGACTGTGCACAGCAGCGATTGCCCTTTTCACTGATCTGAATGTCCTCCTCAATCTTGTATCCATCGGAACACTCTTTGTCTTCTACATGGTGGCCAATGCCGTAATCTACAGACGTTACGTGTCATTGGAGACGATAAATCCATGGCCTACATTGTCCTTCCTCTTTTGCTTCTCTCTCACTTCCATCATATTCACCCTCATTTGGCACTTCATGCCACCAGGCAAGTCAAAAGGCTTCATGCTCGGTGCCAGCATGCTAATTGCCATTGCTGTTCTTCAATTGTTTCATTGCGTGGTCCCACAAGCGCGGAAGCCCGAGTTCTGGGGGGTCCCTCTGATGCCATGGATACCATCCATGTCAATCTTTCTCAACATATTCTTGTTGGGGTCTCTTGATAGGCCATCCTATGTGCGGTTCGGATTCTTTTCGGCTCTCGCGGTGATTGCATATGTTCTGTACAGTGTTCATGCTAGCTTTGATGCTGAAGGGGATGGGACTCTGAGTCAAAAGAATGGTGAAATCATGAAGGAATCAATTGAAAGTGAGGACAAAAGTCTCAAAGTGTAAAAAGTTTTTCTTCTGTTCATCTTTTCTTGTAATGACTTCTCAACTTTTTTGTTTTCTCAATGGATATTTAGCATAGGGTTGAAAAAGGAAAAGGAGGGAAAAGAAAAGAAAAGAATAGCTTTTACATTCTGCTGTTGATGTTTGACAGTGTAAAGGAATGAGAGCATAACTAAAAGCTAAAGTAGAAAGTAGTGAAAGCTCAGTAGTAATATTGAGAGCAATGAAATGTAAATCTCTGGTAGCTAATGGTTGTCACAGTTGTTTTAGAATGGCCATTGTGTGCCGTATCAAAAAAACAAGGAAGTCGTTCAATGTTATGTCAGCACAGATTTGTAATATTTCATTCAATATTTTTGTCATGATTCATACCTCCCATGTAAAATGTATGTAATATATATTTATGTGTTTATTATATTGATATAGACAAGGATTATTGGTGGTGTAACTACAGGAGTGATTAATACTCTGTAATAGAAAAGATGTAGGTCAAATCATGAAAGGTTCTTATTTTTTTGGGTCCCAGAATTATGAAAGGACCATTTGGCATAGCGGTATAACCTCTTTATTCTCAAAGAGGAGGGAAGACCTTGAAGTCTGACCTAGAACAAAAAAGTACGTGTTTGTTTCACCATTCGAGAAAAAAGAAAAAGAAAAAAAAGGATATACATCAAAGCTTGTACAAAAATAACCAAAGATTTTGCATTTGAGGGTTAAAATCACTGAAGATTTAGCCTCCTAAAAAAGAAAATGAATTCATATATTTTACCTCTATGGAAGTGGAACCACAAGTAGTATATTCAGCATCATTAGACCCTGGCAATCTTGTAATTACTAATTAGAAAATACTTTGAAATTAAGAATTGTAATGGCAATAGATAAAGATAGGCATTCATATAATAAATTCTAAATAATTAGAACAATATTTGATTAGGAATTTGATATTAACTAAGTTGTTGCCACGAGAAAATCAACTAAGTACGATGACAACTATTGTATACAAATAATATCAAAGGTTGATGAACTCGAAGATTGAATAATAACTACCATTATGCTCAAACTTAGATGGTATAATCTCTTCTTTTTCTTTGGAGAGGTTACATGTTCGAGGCCTGGTAGAGACAAAAATATATAATAAGTGTGTTTGCTTAAACTTTTGGAGGGAAAAAAACTTGAGTACTGACCAAAAGGATACTTTTTTTTTTTTTCTTTTTTTTTTTTTTTCCATCTAGATTCGGATATGGGCACACCCACTCGGGAATTCTAGATGACTTTAACGAGAGGCAGAGTAAAATAATAGAGGAAGTTACACAGAGAGGGAGAGGGGGCAGGGGGAAAGAAAATGGTTTGAAGGGTAAAACTAAAGGAGATCTTGAAAAGAATTTAGAGGGGAAAAGAAAAGAGAAAATAAAATCAGAATCATGAAAACCATTAACACCATGCCTTATCTTCCTTTTGAGCTCAAAAGAGACAGGAATAATACCTTGTTGACAAGATAAGCATGGGGACAAAAGAGTATGGGTCATCCTGTTGGGTTCCATGTCCTCCTTTCTACATTGTAATTAAATCATACTTTGTCTATAGCATAAGTCAATTCTTTTTAGTCTCAATGGATTTAGATTCTGGTGTCCCCATTTTCCCTTATTCTTGTTGGTTGAGTAGGACCCTTTTGCTAAGTACTAGTCACATCTCTCTAATCTAATCCCATTGTAATCAATCATAGTGTGATTAATTTGTTTCCTAACATATCAAATCACTATAAAGCCAAACTTTTGGAGGGAAAATTACCCAAAATTTTGCAATCTTTTTTTTGGGGGTGAAATTTCCCAATTTTTCTTGTATTATCTTGTCTTTGAAAACTCAGTGTGTAAAAGGTAAAAGGTAAAAGACAAAAGTTTTGTTAGGTATCTTGACAGCAAACGCAAAATTTTATCATGACTGATGTGAATATGAATAATTTTTGTTGCATGTACGGAAAAAGAACGCGAATTTGGATTAATCTTTACTTAGTGCACCCATTAAATTTACGCTCGGTTCGGTAGGAATGAAAGAAGAGGGTTGGAGAGGAGATAGGTAGGAAGAAATAAATTTTCTTTGTTTGATAGAAAAGATGTAAGAAGAGAAGATAAAAGAGGATATATGAGTCATCCTTCATACTTCACAAATTTTCATCTTTCTAAATATGAACTAACAACACTAAGAAAAATAGGCAAGGGCGCAAGGCTATTGTATAAGTTTTTAAATTACAAAATTTTCCTTATAATTAACTTTTTCTCGTATCTTCTTTCGTAACAAATAAAATAAGGTATTATTTCATTATTTTATTTTACATTCACCCAAACAAAAAAAGGAAAGAGTACAATCTCTTCTCTAAAAATGTCTCATTCATCTCTTAATCTATCCATTCCATCCAATTTTCTTCCTTTCTACCAAACAAAGCAAAACATTAATCTACATTTAATGTCACAATTTTGAATTCAGATTTCTAACAATTTTTCTTATGAAGATTGACTATATTTCTCACACTAGTAATTTCAACCAACCCTTATTTTCAATATCGAATTTGAACAATTTTCTTGGTTTATTTTATTTTTTCTTCTTCTGTTTTTTCTTTTGTAATCATGTTGAATTTTCTCTTTATTACATGACCAAAAAAAGAAAATTGTGATTCGTTCAATGATCCTATATCTTAAGCTTTAATTAGTGTTTTTGGGTGTGATACATGTTGCATTCTCTCTTTACTACATGGCCAAAAAAGAAATTGTGATTCTTTCAATGATCTTATAATATCTTATACTTTAAATTCTTTTAATTTTGGGGGCATCTTGAAAAATCAAGGACATTGGATACCCACAAGTGGAGTTGCAATTGGAGGGTTCCACAACTTGAATTCCAGGTCAAATTGAAAAAAAGTTATGAGCAGACTAATCAAAAATCAATTCCAAGGTATATTATGCTTTTATGCTCCACTCTAATTGTTGGTTACTTTTTTTTTTTTTACCCAATAATGGTTCTTACGGTCTTTTGAAAAAAATAAATTAAAAGGATCAATAAGTGTTGATGAACGTATTATTTCACTCATGATTGTATTTTTGGTGCAAATATATAGTAAAAGTTTAAGCTAAAAATTGTGAGATGAAGTTTTAAAATAATCACCATATCCAAAAGAAATTTCAAATCTTAATTTTTTTTTATAATTATTTTTTGACACACACTGCCACACACACTCTTGTGTTAGGCTTATTTTGAAATTAGTTTTACTTTTTAATACACTTCAGTCTTGTTTGACAAGTATTCATGTTCGGTGTTGGTATGTATTGTAAAAAAGTAAAACATCGCAATACGTTTGGGTCTGTTTGACAACCGCTTTTGATTTTTTTTTGACAGTGTACTATATTGAAGCAAAAGCATAAAGCGTGTTTGGTAACGTGATTTAAATAGTACCGAAACACTTTCATAAAAGAAGCCAAAACCAAAAACACCAAATTGATGCTGCGATTGCTTATGCACTGTGGCGATGAACAGTACAAATATATATATATATATATATATATATATATATATATATTAACTAGCCATTTTATTTTTCGAACTTGCAACACTTATTTACTAAACATGTTTTCATATTTTTACTTTCGAAAATCTTGCAACAAATATACGTTACCAAATGTGCTTCCAAATAGTATTAAACACACCTCAAAATAGAAAACATTGTTTTTGCAGTTTTGCTATGGTTCAAAGCAAAAACACAATACAATTGTGATTCCTAAACAGACACTTGGTAATCAGTTATTGCTGTTGTTATTTGAATAATACTCAATTTGTTGTCCAAAAAACACTCAAATAATTATTATTTTTATTTTTTAAAAAATATTTTTGCGTTGTAGCACAAATTCTGTAGTGGTAAAAAATACACAAACACAATAACGGGCTCCTTTAACTTGTCATTTTGCCACTCAATCACGCAATACTTTGACATTACCAAATATATTTTTATGTTTTTATATTCAAAAATTTTGTAACAAAATTTTATAGCGCAATCGTTTTCATCTAAAATAGAAATAACGTCTTTGTTGAGGTGCATGTTAAAATTTTACATTATTAAAACTTGTTTTTAATCTCAAATGAACACACACATCGACAAAGACGATATTCCTATTTTAGATGAAAACGATTACACAAAACAATCATGAGCCAAACCCACGTGAGCCAGCCTAACATGTGCGTAGACAAAAAAAGGTGAAATGATGTACATGAAGTCCTCTATACAAAATTATACGTAATCCTAAGAATATATGGTGGCAAGTACTATTCAGAAATGATCCTTGTATTGTCTTGTTAACAATGCATTTTGTCATGAAAACAAAAGGGTCAATGAGAAAAACCTCAACATTGGCTGGTCTTGTACAATTATGTGGTGCACAATTGTGCACAAACTAATGTAAATAGGTTTTGGATTTAACATGAAGTGATTGTGATTGACACATACATATACCATACATAGTACATACATGTATGTGCTGTTTTCTTGGTTTGTCTACTGTGTGAAGTTCTGTTTGGGCTGTAATGTGACAAGTAGAGACAACTTGTCTCCTTAAGTGGACCTACCATTGTGGCCATATTATTAAGCCCACCACACAAAAAAAAAAAAAAAAAAAAAATATGAGTAACTTGATATTTTGTCTAACAAAATTTGCTTCCACTGGGACTCTCTTTGATGGCTATCAATGTATATCCAAAAAGGGCTGGAGGAGATAAGGAGAGGAATTTCATGAGTGGGGGATATCTTGCTTTTGTTGGATTGTTCACATTTCTAGTCAAATATCAACCACATATATATATATATATATGGTGATATTGTGAAACAAACTTCCTAAAAGAATAAAAAAAAGTCAAAACAACCTGTAATTATATGATTGCCCAAGTGGGCCTGGTCATCTAAGTTGTCATAAAAGAGAATATTTTTTTTAAGAACAATTTTTTTTTTTTTGTAGAATTAAAAAGAATTAACATAAAAATTTGTTTGGTTGAAAGTTTTTTAAAAACTCGTTAAAAAAAGAAAAAAAAAAAAAATCCATTTTTATAAAGTTGTCTCGTATAGAAAACAGTCTTTATAGTTTTTCAAAAAGAGTTGAGGAGTTTCCTAGGACCACTAGAGTCATGGGAGCCAATTGTAATAAGTAGGTATTTTGCGATCCGATTTAAAAACTTAAATTATTACATGTTAATACACAGTCCATATATACCCAATCACTTTTTCATTCAGATTCGATGTGTGACATGTCCTACTTCTAATATTCTCCTTCACTTGCACTCGCAAGTTTCTAGTTGCGGTTGGGCTACCCTGCCTACCAAGAAAGATACACCCAGACTCTTCCGGGCTGGGCACATAGCGTGGCACCGGATCGAGAATTGGGTCTGGTTTCTGATACTAACTGTAACGGGTGAGTGTTTCGCGATTTAATTCAAAAGCTTAAATTATTAGGTAGGGGTAACACCCAACCCATATATACCAAATCACTTTTTCATCCGGATCCGATATGTGACAACTCTCACTTATAACACCAATCCTCAAGGCATGGATATTAATCCTCATTTCTCGGCCTTCTTTAAATTGAGTATCACCCTCCAAGGTTGGGCATATCATTATCCTAATATAGAGGGTAGATCGTAAACTAACATGGCTCGGAATTATTATAGATGTGTTACTATTATTCAAACATGTTTGTAGTTATATTTACTGGTACCCGAATTGTAGGTTTTGGATTCACTAATTATGTTTGCAATTTGCCAAATTTTTAGGGGCTCTGGTGAACTATTCAGAAGGCCATAAGTAGTTCTAATATCTTTTGAGGTCAAGTAGTCTTCTATGAATTTTCCATCTTTAGATCTCAATTATAGCCGCTCTTTAAAAGCAAGAATCTCTTATTGTTGTCAAGAAAACAATCTTTTATAATTTTCTAAAAACATTTCTTATTTTTTGTTTTTGTCTTTTTAGTACCATTTGAACATGTAACTTATAAAAAACTGGAATAGTCTACATAAAGTATACCCTTTAGACTCTCAAGACTTCAACAAAATCAAAATTTTGAGAAGGTAAAATAACAGAAGTAGGGAGAAGCCTAACAAAGGCACTATAGCAAGCAGACTCTGCAACACAATCATCTTCCTGAATTGATACCTGCTTCCGGATTTAATCCTATTACCAAAAAATGAATCTGTTTACCCTGCGACTGAGGTATCAAAGCACTCAAAGTTCAATAAAATTAAAACACGTGTCACACCAAAAGAAAGTCATGTACGAGATAACGAGTTAGAGGATTTTTCTATGAGCCATGAAGTCTAGGAAGCCCTAAAGAGCACAAGCTCTTAACTTCACAGTTTCTATATTTTCCTTCTGTATAAAGTGGATGTCTCTGTAGGAATTGGAATATAGAGTTTCATTCCTCTCCCACTAGATGATATATACTGCAGTTGGATCTCAAAATTTTCAGCCTCTAAAATTTTCAGCAGTCCAAACCACTTGAGAAGAGTAGAAGAAGGCCATTGAATGTGGCATTTGGTCAACCAAGAATTTTCAAATTCTGTTATTGACTTCACAGTTGAAGAATAATTGAACAGGGTTGATTATGTACTTTCATGTTTTTAGTTGAAGATCTCAAAATTCAATTCCATTCCAGAAAACTCACAGGCCAAATTTCTTTTGGGCCTTAATTTAATTTGACAATTCAGATTTTGGCATCATTTATTTATTTATTTTTCTTTCCTTTGATCTCATGACATAGGTTGAAAATCAAGGCATATATTCCACAATCCCTTGTTGTAATGGGTGGACGCTTATCCACTTATCTAAAAATAGTGGTGTATACACACCCATTTATACTTATTTCACTTCCCATTCGGATCCGATGTGGGACAAGTACCTTGTAACATTCTCCACCACCCCACCCTGCTTACCTAAGTGGGCTCACCTGGACGCCTCCAGGCTGGACGGTTGGCGTGACACCAGATCAAAGATTAAGTCTACCTCTGATACCAATTGTAACCGGTGAATGATTAGATTACCCTTTTACTCAAAAATTTAAACTATTAGGTAATACTATATACTTACCTATTTATACTCATTTCATTTCCCATTCAGATCCAATGTGGAACAAGTATCCCTTAAACACTTGTGCACTGCATGGAAACTAGTAAACAACTTTTTTGACCCTTGTAACTTTTCAAATTTTCAGACTTAATTTTTTTTTACAAGGCAAGAAGTGTTAGAAGTTAAATTAGTAGATGCAAATAATCAAAATCTGATACTCCAAAATTTACCAGAGGTACTAATCTACTGGGCTACCGAGACATCTGCTGAACTTAAATTTCTAATCAAAGGCCATTATATTTTTACAAAATATAGGTTAAATTCTCATTTTCTATTTTGTTATTACAAATCATGTAAATAATTATATTTATTTTTTTAATCATTTGTAATCAGTTCGCGCTATATTAATTTTGGTCAGTTTATCTTCTATGCTGATACATATCTATAGGTTTACATGTATATAAAAATTACACCACCTTTTTTTTTCTTTCGTCGTGAATTGGCAAACCTATAAAATCATATTACGAGTTAAGCAAAATAAAAAAAAATAAAAAAAATAATAGAGTCCAATCAAATGGTAAACATTTCATTCTTGATCTCTTCACCTTTAGATGCAATTCGATATAATTATAACATTCGGTAATTTGAAATTAGTAGTTGGAATTAAAAAAAAAAAAAACAAAAGTTTGTTTAAATTCTGAACAATTTTTTCTTTTCTAAAATTTAATTTTAAGACACTAATAGTCTAATTCTATGTTTTTTTCCCTAAATGGAGGAATAGTCTAATTCTATGTTACCGAACATAGTAACACTTTGCACTCTCAAGTTTTAAAAACCCCACCTCTTAGTCTTCGTAGTGTTTTTTCATAGGCAAATAGATGGGTTAGGTCAGGAGCATGACATAGCATGGGCTTTAACACACTGTATATGATGACATGAAAGCTCTAAGGAGGTGTATGATTCTATCTCATAGTTTTGATTTGCACTACAGAAATTTGTCAGCTATAGCCAATGTCAAACTTGACTCACAAGACCTTGTTTGGGTTGGTACAAACACAACCCAAGTATCAAATTTACAAAAAGTTTTGCAAGAATGTGCAAGAGAAAGGGCACCCATGGAAGGAAAGGCTTGTCATGGACTAATTATTTGTGCTGGGTTACAAGAAGACACTTTCACATCAAACATGCTCATTAACATGTACTCAAAGTGTGGGCTTGGTGATTCCGCTCGCAAGGTGTTTGATGAAATGCCTCAAAGAAGCCTTGTTTCATGGAATACCATGATTGGTTCGTATACCCAGAATAAGAGTGAAGAAGAGGCTCTTTATCTTTTCATGAAGATGCAAAGAGAAGAAACCCAGTTTAGTGAATTCACTATTTCGAGTGTACTTTGCGCTTGTGCTGCAAAATTTGCCATATTTGAGTGCAAACAGTTGCATGCTTTTGCGCTCAAGGTGTCGATTGATTCAAATGTATTTGTGGGCACTGCTTTGCTTGATGTCTATGCGAAGTGCAATGCAGTTGAGGATGCTATCCGGGTTTTTGAGAGCATGCCTGAGAGGAATGCGGTCACATGGAGTTCAATGGTGGCAGGATATGTGCAAAATAAGCTTTATGAGGAGGCTTTAATTTTATTCCATAGAGCACAAATGATAGGTTTGGAACATAGCCAGTTTACTATATCTTCAGTTCTCTCTGCTTGTGCATGCCTGGCTGCTCTGATTGAAGGGAAACAGTTGCATGCGGTATTACATAAAGCTGGTTTTGATGCAAATATTTATGTAGCTTCCTCTCTAATTGACATGTATGCGAAATGCGGAACTATTAAAGAAGGTTACGTTATATTTTCATGTGTAGAAGAGAAGAATGTTGTCGTATGGAATGCACTGGTTTCAGGGTTTTCTAGACATGCTCGCTCTATAGAGGCTATGATTTCATTCGAAAAGATGCAGCAGATGGGTGTGCGCCCAAACGAAGTAACTTTTGTATCTGTGTTATCTGCATGTGGTCATATGGGATTGGTCGAAAAGGGACGGAAATATTTTGACATGATGATAAAAGATCATAATTTGTCACCTAATGTCTTTCACTATTCATGCATGGTTGATATTCTTGGTCGAGCAGGGTTGATTCATGAAGCTAAGGAAATGATAGATAAAATGCCATTTGATGCTACTCCTTCCATGTGGGGATCGCTTTTGGCCTCCTGCAGGATCCATAAGAAGCTTGAGTTTGCTGAAGTTGCAGCTCAAAAATTGTTCGAGATTGAGCCTAATAATGCAGGAAACCATGTCTTGCTTTCAAACATATATGCCGCAAACAAAAAGTGGGAGGAAGTTGTAAGGGCTAGGAAGCTTCTTAAAGACAGCAAGGCAAAGAAAGAAAGGGGAAAAAGTTGGATCGAGATTAAGGATAAGGTACACACATTTATGGTTGGAGAGAGAAACAATCCTAGAATTGCTGAGATTTATCTGAAGTTGGAGGATTTACTGGAAGAAATGAAGAAGCTGGGTTACAGAGGTGAGACTGAACATGACTTGCATGATGTGGAAGAAAACCGAAAACAGGAACTTCTGATGCACCATAGTGAGAAACTAACTCTTGCTTATGGGCTAATGTGCTTACCTTCTAGTGCACCAATACGGATTATGAAGAACCTCAGAATCTGTGGAGATTGCCATTCTTTTATGAAATTCGCTTCAAGTATTACAGGGAGGGAAATCACCGTTAGGGATACAAATCGGTTCCACCATTTTAAAAATGGTTTTTGTTCTTGTGGGGAGTTCTGGTAGTCTGTTTCGTAGCATGGTGTCTTTTGATCTTTGATCACCTTTTGTAGATTACACATCCCACCTCTTGCTTTAGGTTCGGATTTTCATGACCTAAAGGTTTTGAAGGCTAATTTCATTGCTCACTATCCCATATTCAGAGATCAAAGATGAATTCTTATCACAGTGCTGCAGGGATTTGCTCAAGGTTGTACTTTTACAATAAAAAAGTTCGAACCGTGGTTTCCAAAGTGAATGCAGGAATGACAATACTTCAGGTGGTTTGCTTAAACCTCAGAGGTGTCTTAAAATGAAGTCCATGGTATGTGAATAAAAACCGAACTTCAATTTTCACTTGGTTTGAATATTTGCTGTGGTTTTTTCTCAATAGAACTTGATTTTCACAAAAGGTCTGTGTGTGTTGTGTGTGCAGGTGAAGGTGCTCTCTTTGTCTCTCTCTGCAGTTGGAGTTCAGCTACCAACATAAGTCATACAATCCTTCTCAAAATGTGTGACGCTCTCACGCTCCGTGCGTGTAGCGCTCGTGTTCCTACCGTTTGACTTAATTTTGCCGCTTTACGTGACTTAGTACTTCTATGAGAATAGCAAATTGGGTTTTAACTTATGTTTATATCAAAGAACTAGTATATGATAGAGGCTTAGTATTTACATCTATAAAAACTAAAGAGAGTTTGTAATTCATTTATTCAAAGTGAAGAGAATTTCATTGGGATGCTGCAGCTTTAGAGCTTTGTTTGTGAGAGAGTGATTATCTCGTTTCTTTCAGCTTTCTATTCTTATTCTTTGTTGTTTCTTATATATCTATCTATTCCTAAATTAGACTAAACTGTCTGTCGTGGACTCAAACAAACCCTCATGGTTTAATTTGGTCTGGTTATAACGATTATTTGTGGCATTCCCTAACCGTCAATGAAATGAACTTTTAAATGGTAAAATATAAAACTTTTGATATTATAAATTTTTAAGGGATATGCAATTATTAAATATATAATTCTTAGTTGTGCGATACTAATAAGTAACCAATATAAATATAGACTTCCCTTCGTTTCATATTAGATATTCACTTTTGATTTTCTAACTTTTAAGGGGATACATACTTAATTTTAAAAAGGAAAAATATACAATTAATAAATTATTTTGTTTTAAAATTATCAAATTGTTCCTTTAAGTTTACATTTGTATACTACTAAGTTTAGAGATTATCGAAGACTTTAAATTGTGTAGGACAAGAAATTTGGACAAATGAATTCGATTATCAATCCCTTTTTCGAGTCTCAATTCGAATTGAGACGGGTTGCAGAGTGTGTACCTACCCGCATCTCCCGATCAATTTATATTTAAAATTTACTATATTACTCTTATATATATACTATGTAGATACACAAAAATTACGCTTATATAATTATATATATAATCCTTTATTATTATTATTTTTTTTTCCCAAAAATCAAGCAATTTATAAGGAGCCTGTAGAATGAGAGAATTGGGCAAAGGAAACAATAAAAATACAGGAATGGTCAATTTGGGCAATTTGATGTCCCAATGCTTACAATTAAGTGATTAACCCACAAGTGAAAACAATACTCACTTTTGCCCTTTACATCCGAACCTCACTGCTCTTCTGAAGAAATTTAAGATAATTTTTTATAATTTTTTTTTTCAGTACTATCAAATATTTAATCATCATCATAATAAAAATATATGATTAAAATTTAAATACTCCGTAATATTCATTTATATATTTATTATTAATCAACGAATTTTAAAATTTATTTTTTTCAAGACGAATTAAATTGATATCCTATTAAACTGTTTTATAATAGAGTGAGTGACTTGCCCCAAGCCGGCTCGTTCCCGTGTGAAGAAGGAGGACCTTAGTCTTGGGTTGGTTCGACCTTGCAACCAAAAATTTATCAAAATAAATTCGGTTGGTTAATTTATAGATTGTTTAAGATTTATGTGAAAAATACATTCTAAAGCTTATTTAATTGGATGAAAAATATATTTTTATTTTTAAGTATTTAGTTGTTATTTATAAATAGAAATATATTAAAATTAACAAGAATAACATATTCATAAACTTTCAACAAATCATTTTACCAAAATAAAAATAAATTTCTAGTAAAATACTAACAAACAGAGCCAAAATAGAAATTTAACTACTCCGTAAAATACAAATTTGAGACATATTCTATAATAAAAATATAGAAGGTTTAACGAGCGGATCCAAGTAAATTTGTTTAACGAGCGGATCGAGAAGGCCTAAACCCGTTGATTTATCGAAAGAATCCCAGGACCAAGAGGCGCGCACTGTCTCCTCCATCACTACGCTGCCGTACACTCTCTCTCTAAAATTTGGCCTCTTGAATCACCGCTATAAACCCTTCCCCTCTCTCTCTCTCTCTCTCTCTCTCTCTCTAAACTTGCATGCATATGTTTTTGTCATCTTTCATTTAATTGGGTTCTATTCGATTCATTGCTGTTTTCCAGTTCTTGTTTTGGGGCAAAATTGAAAGAATCGATTGCCACATTGGACTACAAATTAGCAGTGAAATTCAAACATGGTGAGTTAGGGTTTATACTTATCCATATGCATATTTATCTTGAATTTCATTACAAAATTTTATATTGCTTTAGGATTCCACAAATTTGGATTTAACTCGTCTTGATTTTATTCTGGGTTTTTCTTTTTCTTCTTTGGATGTAGTTTTAGAATTTTTTTTTTCCTGAATTATGCTTAGGAATTTGTGATAAAAGTTTTGATTTTATTGTCTTTGTATTTATCAGTCAGATATTAGGAAGTGGTTTATGAAACAACACGACAAGGGTAATGGCAATGCACCAAAGCTTGCGAAACCTGCAACACCAGAGAAGAAGCCTTCACAAGCCACCTCACAGCCGGAGAAACCGGTCAGTCTTCAATTCATGCTCTACCTTCTATTTTCAAGAAAGACATTTTTTAATTTTTTATTTTATGCTTTTGTATTCAAGAAAGACATTGTTATTATTTTTTTTTATAATTGCTTTTGCACTATATTTCTATGCTCTACCTTATATTTTCAAGAAAGACATTATTATTATTATTATTATTATTTTTTATAATTGCTTTTGCACTATATTTCTATGTTCTACCTTCTATTTTCAAGAAAGACATTTATTTATTTATTTTTGCTTTTGCACTGTATTTGTATGTTTACCTTCTATTTTCAAGAAAGACAATTTTTTAAAATGCTTTTGCACTATATATCTATGTTCTACCTTCTATTTTCAAGAGAGACATTTTTTTTATAAAAATTTTATAAATGCTTTTGCACTGTATTTGTATGTTCTACCTTCTATTGTCAAGAAAGACATTTTTTTTTAAAGCTTTTGCACTATGTTTCTATGTTCTGTGGGGTAACCCAGGTGCAGGGTGGGCAAGAAAGTTCAGGCAGAAGGAAAACTAGCAAGTATTTTGATACTGATAAACAAAAGCAGAAAGATGAAAAGGAAATGGAGGATCTCTCGGGAAAAAGAAAGGTTCGAAAGGGTGGCGAAGATTTATCTGGTGATGTCAAACCTTCACCTGCAAAAAAACTTCACAAAGCTGAGGAAGATGATGACGACGACTTTGTGCTGCCAAGGAAGGGGTCAGATAATGTCACCCCTAGTAAGAAACTGAAGAGTAGTGCGGGTAAGGGAATCAGCCAGAAACCTGTAGATATGGAAGAAAGTGATGAGGATAATATCGAATCTCCTCTTAAATCCAGTGGCCGTGGTGGAAGAGCTGCTTCAGCGGCATCAACTGGTGGAAGAGGCAGAGGTGGTACGGGTAAGGGAATCAGCCAGAAACCTGTAGATATGGAAGAAATTGATGAGGATAATACCGAATCTCCTCTTAAATCCAGTGGCCGTGGTCGTGGCCGTGGTGGAAGAGGCGCTTCAGCGGCATCAACTGGTGGAAGAGGCAGAGGTGGTGGTGGAGGAAGAGGTGGATTCATGAATTTTGGTGAACGAAAAGATCCTCCACATAAAGGAGAAAAGGTTACTATTCTTGTTTTTAGCATTCTATTTTTTAGACTTGTTAACTCTTATTCTGATTTTCAATCTCCTGGGAAGCATTGGACTTTAATGCTGAATCTCCATTGTGTTCACTTTTGCTTGTTTTTTTCCCTCTGATCCATTCTCCTCTTGTATCTTAACTTCTCCATGTTACATTTCTTCTTCCATTGGCTTCCACAGCCTAACTCTCACTTTTATGAACCAATTACACACCTGCAATGCATCACCATAAACCAGTTTCAATACGGGTACTCCACAATGAAGCCAACAAATTGTTAAAGAATCAATATACTACATGTAGATAGATTATATATTGTGTACCTGACTTCTAGTAAGTCCTGTTTGTTTCACGAGCATGATATTCATCGCGTATCTGTTTATAACATCTGCATTAGTTAATTAAAATGATCATTTAAATGATGATTTTGAAATTAAAGTATCTCTTATGCATGTCAGGAAATCCCCGAAGGTGCCTCTAATTGTTTAGCTGGTATGACTTTTGTAATTAGTGGAACACTTGACAGGTATTTTCATTTATCTCAGTAAAGGATGCTCATTATTTTACTAGTACAAACCAAGAGAAACTTTGAGATTGTTGTGTTATGTACCTTGATGACCTCCACCTCTAATGTATTACTGCCTCTCGATATTCATTTATCATGTTGGTCATTTAAAGTTAATATCAAATAATCTTGAGTTCATCTTGAAATTTTCTGCTATTTACAGTTTGGAAAGAGAAGAAGCAGAAGATTTGATTAAACGCCATGGTGGTCGTGTAACTGGATCTATCAGCAAAAAGACGGTCATTTTTATTCTTCTCTCTTTCTTTGAATAAGATTAAGCCTATTTCTATTGGATGTATTTAATATATTAACTTGTCTCTCTACAGACTTATCTCTTATGTGATGAAGATATCGGGGGCCGGAAATCTGCTAAAGCGAAAGAGCTGGGGTTTGTAAAACTCATTGATATATGTTCTTTTTCATTCATTTTCCTTTTTCTCATAATTTATTCCTGTCTTCATTTCCTTCTATAGTACTTCCTTTCTCAGTGAGGATGGATTGTTTGATATGATTCGTGCATCAATTAAAGAAAAAGCGGCTGGACGAGAAGAAGCAAAGAAACCTGTTGATAAATCTGTTGCATCTCCACCTAAGAAAAGCTCACAGAAAGTAGAAGTGAAGAGTATGTCCTAGATAACTCTACTTCAATTGTTTCACCTTCAAACTTTATTTTTTGGTTGATGATGGTTGTGTTGGGCCTCTTATAGTGAGGCACAAACAGGTGTTAACTTGATGTAACATAGTTGGGTTCCACCTCCATATCATTTCCCCTTTTCTTTTCCTTCTTGTTTCCTTTTCTTCTTTCGTGACTTTCATCTTCTTCCAAAACTATTATAGTTTTCGATGATATTATTAATCAGCTCTATTATTCGTCAGCAAAAGGTGTACCTTCCAAAGGTTTGAAACCTGGTGTCTCTCCTGCTAAGCGGAACGATCAAATTACGAAGCAAGCTTTGTTGCCATGGACAGAAAAATATAAGCCAAAGGTTCCAAATGATATCATAGGAAATCAGTCACTGGTATGTGTGTCACTATCTTGCCAGCTTTTCTTTTTGGGTTGAAATTCTTTATATGTGGGTATATATATTTGGAAGCTTTGTTATTAAGATGTCCTATTACATTGATGTGCAGGTGAAGCAGCTTCATGATTGGCTGACGCGTTGGAATGAGGTGTTCCTGAATACTGGCAGTAAGGGAAAGGGGAAAAAACAGAACGATTCTGGCGCTAAGAAAGCTGTTTTATTGAGTGGTACGCCTGGTATAGGGAAGACTACATCGGCTAAGTTGGTTAGTCAGATGCTTGGTTTTCAGACGATTGAGGTAGTGTGTTTTCGAAAATATTTCCTTTTAGCAGGAAATCATCTTGATCATTACTTCTTAAATATATATATATTTTTTGTATGATCCTGTCTAAATTTGTCAGATGTGTATTCCATTTGTCATTTAGGTTAATGCTAGTGACAATCGCGGAAAGGCTGATGCCAAAATACAGAAAGGAATAGGTGGAAGTATGGCGAACTCTATAAAGGAACTTGTTTGTAACGAAGCTCTGAGTCTTAGCACAGATAGGTTAGTCTCTTTTTATGGTTTCTTGCTTGCTTGTATCAATCAAACAGTACATTTAATAGTATTTTTACTTAGTTAATTGTTGTCTAATATTGTAGGTCAAAGCATGCAAAGACTGTGCTTATTATGGATGAGGTTGATGGCATGTCTGCTGGAGATAGAGGTGGAGTGGCTGATCTTATTGCTAGCATTAAGATGTCCAAAATTCCTATTATCTGCATTTGTAATGATCGCTACAGTCAGAAACTAAAAAGTCTCATGAACTACTGTTTGCTTCTTAACTTCCGGAAACCTACAAAACAGCAGGTCTGTTTTTTCTTATTTTATTTATACTTGCAAATACTGTTTCTTTCAGTCTTTCCTTTTTTTTTTTTTTTTTTTTTCCCCTTCTTATACGGAGTAATGAGTAGACTTGACCTTTATGATTATTTTTTTTCTTTGCTGTGATCAGAACTTTGAAATTTCTTTTATTTAGAATCTGTAATTGATTCTAAATAGAAGTTAGAATATGCTGCTGGTTAGTGATGCCTGCTTGAAGTCTCTATTCATGGACGTCTTGATCTTTGAGTGGTATCAAAATCAACTTTTAGGATGACAATATACCTTGCTGGATAAAAGGGTTTAGATAAGTAGAATTAAGTGCTAAATTTGATGTTTGGAGGAAAGCTTTAAGGTAAGTGGAAATAAAACTGAATGTATAAGGTGTCACTTTAGTAAATAAAATGCAAATAAGAATAAAATGAAGTTTGAGGATCAAGAGGTACATAAATTGTACGTTTCTGTTATTTTGGCTCAATAATTCATGTTAAAGGAGAAATTGGAGATTATGTTATTCATAGATCAAGGTAGGATGAATTAAATATAGGAGTGTGTCTAGTATATTGTATGATTGACATATCCTGCTAAGATTGAAATGGAAGTTGTACAAAACAGCTAGTAGACCAGTGGTACTTCATGGGACAACGTATTGGGCTACTAACAAACAACATATACATAAAGTGAGTGGCAGCACTGTGAATGTTGAGATGGATGTGTAGCAAGGCAAGAAAGGATATAGATTAGACATGAAAACGTTTGTGAAATGGTTGAAGTAGCACTGATTGGAGATAAAATGAGAGTAAATTGATAGAAATGGTTTGAACATGTGCAAAGAAGACCACTAAGTACACCTATTGGGAAGAGTGACATGAACCACAGTGAGCGTAATGCTAGGGGAAGGAGAAGACCAAAATTAACATGGTTAGAGTTGGTATGAAAAGATACGATAGCATGTGGTTTGACTGAGATTATGAGTTTGGATAGAGTGGAAGGAAAAACATGATTCATGCAACTGATCCCAAGTAGTTTGGAAATGGCTTATTTAAGTTGAGTTGAGTTGAGGACTTGAGCCTGTGTATGCTTTGCTGGATCATTCACAGACTGTGCGCCTAATGTTATGCCCTAAAAAGATCTTTGTCTAGGGACTCCTTACTTTTAATTGTTCCAAAATAAAATAAAATAAAAAATACTTTGTGCACCTTTACTGAACCTTTTGTTGCCTCAAGTATGTTTCTGTAGTATTGTGTTGTCAAATTGGATTAATAAGTAATCTTACTTCTATTGGTTGATACTGGTCTTATCACTTATGACATGATTTTTCTTTCGTATTTTTCTTAAGGAAGCATTTTGCATAATCTTTATTATGATGTTAAGGTTGTCTTTGAAATTTTTTTTTTTTTTTTTTGTTATAACAAGAGTGTAAAATTTTAATTTTCCATGTGATTGGTGACTTATTCCACATCAAAAGTGCTTACTACAGACTGGCTAAGATCCGTTGATCTGCTGAAAATAACTAATTAGGTTGTTAATTTGCTAAAAGAATTGGTGGTTTTGTTTGGCAGTTCTAAATTTCTAACCAAATTTGACATGATATGAACCAATTAAGATTCCATGGTATATGTTATTTGCCGATGATTTTGTTTTAATCGATGAGACTAAGAGGAGTTGTCAAATTGGAGGTTTGAAGGGAAACCCTAGAATTAAAAGGGTTCAAGTTAAGTAGAAATAAAATTGTATATATGGAGTGTAACTTTAGTAAATCTAGAAATACAAATGAGGATGTTGTGATGATTAAGAATAAAGTGTTATAAAAAGTGAACATTTTCGTTATTTAGCATCAAGTATTTACAGTGAAGGAGAAATTGGAGCTGATTTTAATCATAGAATCAAGGCATGATGGGTTAATGGAGCAGTGCATCTCGTATGTTATATGATTTGCTTATCCCCTTAGGATTGAAAATAAAATTCTATCGAACAACTATTAGACTGGCTGTACTTTATAGGACCGAATGTTGTGGAACTAGGAAACAACATATGCATAAAGTGAGTGTGGCTGAAATGCGAACGTTGAGATGGATGTGTGGTAAGACTAGAAATGATAGAATTAGAAATAATCACAGTCGTGAGATGGTTGGAGTGGCACCAATTGGAAATAAAATGAGAGAAAATTGGTTAAGATGGTTTAGACATGTGCAAGGAAGATCTCTAAGTGCACTAGCTAGGAAGAGTGATATAGTCCACATTGAGGGTAATACTCGGGGAAGGGGAAGACCAAAGTTAATGTGGGTAGAGTTATTAAGGAAGGATGTGATAACATGTGGTTTCACTGAGGCCATAGTCTTAGATAGAGCAGAATGGAAACATAGAAATCATGTAGCCGACCACAAGTAGGTGGGAAAAAAGGCTTTGGCTGTTATTGTTGTTGTATGAACCTTGGCTAAATACTACTGTGTATTGCTAAATCTGATAGATAGTCATGGTTATCTTTAGCTAACACAATATATATCTGTGCATGTTTGTAATTAACATAATGATGTTGGAGTTACGAGGAATTTTTTCTGTTCTATAATGCATTTTGTGACGATTAATGTGAAATATTCTGCGACTTATGTTTAGATTTGGTAAATGACAGATGGCAAAGAGGTTAATGCAAGTTGCAAATGCAGAAGGCCTTCAAGTTAATGAGGTAATGCTCTATTTGGAACGGCTGTTTCATTTTCTCAAGTATTAGTTTTTTTTTATTAGTCATTTTCTTAAGTATTAGTTTGAGTTTCCATGTCTGATAGATGTTTATTTTTGGTTTTATCGTTTCTATTTAACCATGTTTATTATAGGAATTTTGATCAAATACATTTCTGCTTATCCCTTAATTTTTAATCATTCTTCTTTTACCTAGAAATAGAAAAAGGTTTGTAAGTGCCATGATTTTTTTATTATCTTTTTTTGTGAAGCATAACCGTTTCTAGATCTTTTGAGATGTTTGGTAATTATATTTTTAGATTGCGCTTGAGGAACTTGCAGAAAGAGTTAATGGAGATATGCGCATGGCTCTGAACCAGTTGCAGTATATGAGCCTCTCATTGTCGGTCATTAATTATGATGATATAAGACAACGCCTTCTTAGCAGTGCAAAGGATGAAGATATATCACCCTTCACGGCTGTTGATAAGTATGAATTTTTATTATAAAAATTTTTACCACTGCAGTGTTGCTGCATGCTGTTTCCTGTTTTCTTTGCACATTTCGTTGTCTTCTTCTGTGATATTACTGCTTACTCTTTTTTTGATTTATCAACAAGTTCTCCATTCCTATATTGTGTTCCGGTAACTTATTATGGTTGTTGGTTGAAATTGTCTTTCAGCTTCTGCAGTCTGCTTTAAACTGATTGCAAAGCATTGGCTGCTCATTTAGTTAGCATAAGCTTTCTAAATGATCAATCCATCTAGGTAGGGTATGGTTCCCCAATTTAGGGATGGCAACGGGGCGGGGATTCCATTCCCCATCCCCATCCCCGATGAATTTTTCAATCCCCATCCCTGCCCCCATCCCCGCTTAAAATTTCGCCACCTCCCTGCCCCCGCCCCCGCCCCCGCCCTAGACTCCTTATCCCCATCCCCGCCCTGGCCCCGGCCTCATAATTTTTTTTATTAAAAGAAAACACATTTTTTCTTATTTTCATATATATAATAAATCTAATTTAGTAATAAATTATTATATGTAAGGGTATATTAGTAATTTCACACTTAATCGGGGCGGGACGGGGCGGGTTTACCCCATCCCCGCCCCGCCCCGCCCTGGCGGGGATTCATAATTTGCCCCCATCCTCATCCCCATTTAGCTAAAAGGATCTCCATCCCCGCTATAAACGGGGTGGGGCGGGGTGGGGCCCCGGCGGGGATGGAGAATTTGCCATCCCTATTCCCCATTTAGGTGAATTGAACTTTTAGGTTACACAATCTTCTCTCATCATTGCAAAAATTAGGATTGAATTCCTTGAGACAATCTCTATGAGCATTATCTATATATATATATATATTCTGGCAAGTAATCTCTATGAGTAGATTGCACTCATTGTTTATGATAAGTTGATTTGGATTCCTTCTTCTCACGGTCGTTTTGAAGTAAGGTCTTTGTTCTTATGTTTGTCTAATTTTGCACCCTCTGATTTTCCCTGGAAGACTATATGGCGTTCTATGGCTCCTATTAGGGTGGCTTTTTTTGTATGGACCGTCGTTTGGGGTAAGATTCTGACGATCGATAATTTGAGGAAAAGGGGAAATTATTTTGTTAATTGGTGTTGCATATGTAAGCAGAATGGGGAGTCAGTTGATCATCTCCTAATGCATTGTTCTGTAGCGCACGACTGTTGGAATCTTTTTCTTGGGCTTTTTGGCATGTATTGGTAATGCCACGTTCTACTAAGGAGCTGATTCATGCCTGGAGAGGTTGTCGTGTGGGTAGAAGTGTTTGTGATTATTGGAGATCTGTACCACATTGTATTTGGTGGTGCATTTGGAGGGAGAGAAATAGTAGAATGTTTGAAGGAAAGGAGTTTTCTACAGCGACACTAAAACTTGTTGTTATTCGTTCTCTTTTCAGTTATGTGAACAGAAGTTCCTGTTCCTCTTCTGATGATTTAATTTTTTTTTTGGATTTTTTGGGGCCTTAGTTCCCGGTTTCTTTTATGTCTATGGGACGCGTTCCCCTATTGAACGCTTTTTTAATTTATTATTACTTATCAAAAAAAAGAAAGAAGAAAATACTAGACTTCCACTACTCCTGTTATTTGTCTTTTCTTTTGTAACCGGGAAATCATATCTGCTCTTCATAAATATCATGAAAAACGTGCATACTTGCACAAGCACATGCATAGAGACTCACATTTAGGGAATGATTGAGTGGGGTGCCTAGAAAAATTGATCTCTTTGTTTCAGTATTGTTGATACATATAGATGTGTGATGGTAGCGAGCCCTTGACTTGTTTGTGAGCTCGCATCATCGAGCTATGGTATTAGGCTATGTTACATGGATTCAGGTACGTGTGTCGGGTAATCTACATGCTGGACACATCAAATCCTCAAATAGAAGGACGCATGGACACTGCTAAATATTCATATTATTTAATATATTTATTTAATTTTCTACAATAACATAATGTCTTTTTGTAACATAGCATTCAATATAGACATTTCACTCATTTTGAAGCACTAATATAATAAAACTGAATTATAGAATATGATTTTGAGGTGCATGTCCCACCCAAAGTGTCAGATACATATTCCATACCCATGTCTATGAGTATTGTGTCCCGACATGGATACTTCACCTACTTTGAAGAGTCCATTTAACATAAGTATTAGGTGTCTTTAGGTTAGTGTCATTCTCTGTTGATTTCCAATTGTGTAAGTAATTTGCGGCCTCTTACTACCACAGTTGATCCTAATATTTGCAAGCCTGGATCACTTAAATGTTACTGTAGTTCAAGTGTTACTGTAGTAGGTTCAGTACACCTACTGTGATCCAATCATTAATTGCCTGTGTTGGTGGTTGTGATTGTCCTTTTGTGTTCAGAATTCTCAAGAAGTTGGCAATGATACCCAGTACACACCATGACTTACAGAAGTATGGGCAAGTATAGCGCTGCATCTTGCATCAGCGCTTCCCTTTCACTTTAATATGTGTGAGAATATGGCTGGTGCTTAAAGATATATTTACTTGCAGCACGTGGATAATCCATGTTTATAATTATGCTGTATGGACTCAAAAACCTGTCTTATGTACTGGATTGACCAATAATTTGGTTCTTGAAGGACTGTTCAAGCATAAAATACGGTTCTAACGGTCTTCCTGGTTTAACTTATGCTTTGTTCGGTAGGATGGAAGAGGGGGTGGAAGAAGGGCGAGGAAGAAAGGAAAAAGGCAGAATGGACATTTGCTTGTCCATCTTCTTTTTACCCATAATTGGATTGATGGGAAGGAAAAGGAGTAGCCTTTTCTCTTTTTTACATTTTAACCTTTCAAACAACATCTTTATGGTTCAAGTGCATAATGATAAATAGAAGTAACACCCCGTTCCTTTACCTTTCCTTTCCCGCTCAACCAAACATATGGACGGAAGGATGGTTTCTTTCCAGAATTATTATTTTCACTCACTAGTACCTTGTTTTCCTCTCAATTTTTTATTTCTTCTGCCAAACAGAATTTTACTTTCAATGGTTTGTTTGATTTATTGAAGTGTACTTCATGCTGACTTACTTTTTGCTATTGTAGGCTGTTTGGCTTTAATGCTGGGAAATTGAGAATGGATGAGCGGATTGACCTAAGCATGAGTGATCCTGATCTTGTTCCCCTTCTTATCCAGGTAATTCTGTGCTTGTTCACATGTTAGGTTTATGATATTTAAAATACCATATTTATCTAATGGTAATCCTACTGCAGGTTGAAATGGCTTTCTAATGTTATTAGTCAGCTTTCCCTTAAATGCTCAACTTTTATTTATCTTATTTTTTGGGGGTTTGGTCTGCTAGTATTCATATCTATTTCATTTTTCGGGTTAAGATTCAGGGGCTCATATCATCGGTTTCTACGGTACATTATGTTATACATTAATTTTGCTTTCCCTTTTCATTTTATTGATATGATATTTATTCCGTAAATTTATATCGACTTATATGTGGAAATAAATGAAAACACTTTCTTGCCCTTGGTTTACTGAAGTTAACAACTACTGCTTATGTTGGATAATTATATCAGTGCAGATCTTGTCATTTTCTATCATTTAGCGTAATAAATCTGTTTTAACATGGCAGGAGAACTATATGGTCTGCTAGTATTCATATCTATTTCATTTTTCGGGTTAAGATTCAGAGGCTCATATCATCGGTTTCTACAGTACATTATGTTATACATTAATTTTGCTTTCCCTTTTCATTTTATTGATATGATATTTATTCTGTAAATTTTTATCGACTTATATGTGGAAATAAATGAAAACACTTTCTTGCCCTTGGTTTACTGAATTTAACACCTACCGCTTATGTTGGATAATTATATCAGTGCAGATCTTGTCATTTTCTATCATTTAGCGTAATAAATCTGTTTTAACATGGCAGGAGAACTATATCAACTATAGGCCAAGTTCAGTTGGCAAAGATGATAATGGGATGAAAAGGTTGAGCATGATTGCTCGTGCTGCTGAGTCCATTGGGGATGGGGATATAGTTAATGTACAGATTCGAAGATATCGACAGTGGCAGCTCTCTCAGACTGGCACCCTAGCATCTTGTATAATTCCGTAGGTTTTATCTTGTCAGCTCTGAAAAATGATGAATTCCAATATAAATTTCTCACTTCAATTTTAGTGTTCTTGATTTGTTTTACCTACTAAAAGATGTTGATTTGTCTTTTTTTTTTTTCCCCCTTTCTTTTTTTTGGTAAACAGTGCTGCTTTATTACATGGGCAAAGAGAGATACTTGAACAGGTGATGGATGTCAATTTTGTGCAGCTTGTATCTATATATTTTCTAAATTTTCTTTGGTCTTTTGGATCAAGTGTTTCCTTCAGAATGCTATAACTATTCACACAGATTTGCTGTATTCATCTTTACCTCAGTACCTTTCTCGAGTTCTCCTCCTTCAAATTCTTCTTTTCTTTCAACGAAGTTCTTTTTTGTTATTGAACAAGTGGTTGCTGGTTCCTTTTTTATGAATAGTGCATGCTTGCAAGATTCTTAATAGGTGCAGCTCTTTTTATAGAATTCTTATATTGTATTGTCCACCATAAAAAAAATTCTAACAATGTCATCTAGATAATGGATCAGGAACAGCTGTTTAATTGTTTAGTGAAATGATGTTGATCTAAGGACCTATATTGTATGTAGACTTCATATTAGTGAATCATTTTTGTCAAAGGTGATCTGACATGGATTTGGGTATGCGATAGGGTGTAAGATATGTTCTGATGTTTGCGGTAGTAAGAACTTGTGGAGCATATTCTCAGCTGACCAGAAATTGCATATGATATCTGCCAAATATGCACATTCTTTGCTTGAGTATTGCAAGACTAGTTAAGTACCCATATTGGTTTGTATCATGAGTCCTTGTTATCACCTTTCTTACACTTCCATTTTCCTCTTTGGTCATAGTGTGGAGCAGTCAAGGTTAATCCGGACCTTAAGTAGCGTACATTCTTGTACCTTTGATTATAGACGAAGAAGAATTAGAAGCTTGATAGCTGAACCTGAAGCTTAGGTGCACATATGCACTGTACAGTCTGTACCTGTATACCAAGGACGTCTAATATAGGTGAACATATGCACTGCATGTACCTGTACCTGTATGCCCAAGGATGTCTCATATCCTAAATTTCCCTTTCCCTTCAATTTTGTGTTCAAGAAACCTATAAATTGATAGCGGTGGAATTTTTGTTATTCCAGTTTTACCCTTGCTTTTTTCACATTTGTTTCCATGTATATTTATATCTACATTTATATATTTATTTGTATAATGTCAAAGGTCAGGCTTGACTTCAGCGTTTCCCTTCCAACACCTCGTATTGACAGGACAAACATTGGTAATGACCATCTGATAGATTTATTTGTATGTATCATAATTCATAATGTCTCCTATGCATACTATTCCACCCTAAGCAGCACACACACTGGACACGGATAAGTGGATTCAAATCATTAAAAAGTAGGACGCAACATGACGTGGAGTCATGGACACAACAATAATTTTTTAGTTCTATACTTAATTACATAATTTAGAAGATGAAGTTATGCAAATATAGCTAAGATTAAGAATATTTGCTACTACCTCCTACTTTGTCATCACAATTATATTCTTGTCATATATGAAAGTGTCATTGCATGATTGATTTGTGATGACCATGTCTACTACGTCAATTTTTATTAGATGATTGATTTGTGATGACCATGTCTACTACGTCAATTTTTATTAGAGACGCTATGGGGTGTTTTCTCTGTGTTTTTATGTTTTATAAAGCTTGCATTTGGGAGTGTTAGTTGTGCTAAATGTCTGATATATATATATATATATATATATATATATATTTCTAAATTAATCACATAGATGAAGTGTTGGACACATGTCCAAGTGTTGGTGTGTAATACCCTGCAATTTGCAAAAAAATTCTTTTGAGGTGGTAGTGGTGTAACAGGAAATGTTTTATGAGTTCATGTGTTGCTCCCAGGACATTGGCTTGCTTATTTCTTTTTATTTTATTATTAAAGAGACAATTGTTTAGATATGCAAGACAATAGCATGCACAAGGGTTGTTAACCACATATAGCACTCCTAGAGACATTTGTTGCAAATGTTTAGATATGCAAGAAAATAGCATGCAAAAGGGTTGTTAACCACATATAGCACTCCTAGAGACATTTGTTGCAAATGTTTGCTGACCTATAACTTACGGGAGTTAATTGACCATGACTCCACCCACGAGAAGTATGTATTTATATCATAAAGATAAAAGAAGTCAGGTTAGTAGGTATATACAAGGTTAGAATGTATTTATATTTATACATGCATCGGCTATGGTATTACCTTTTATTTTATTAACTAAGCAGTTGGGCCAGGTTAGTAGGTATATACAAGGTTAGAATGTAAATAAAGAGAAGACATGGGTTTGAAAATAAAATAGAAAAACCAACGGGCCAGTGGCCTAGCGGTATCAGCCTCTTACTTCCCAAAGGGAGGTCAGAGGTTCAAGTCTCAGAAGAGACAAGTGTGTGTGAGTACCAACTAGGAAAAAAAAGAAAATAAAATAGAAAAGGAAGATTCTAGGGTGACAAGTGTTACTAGCAAAAGAGTAATTAGGGTGAATAGATTGTGTCCTGTCACACCTAGAACTTGTGGAAGGCTTCTTCCCCTTTGCATTGTATTATGTTACACGCTTAGCATATCTATATGATATGGTATAGACACCTGTACTAGTATGATTATTGTTATTGAATTGCTAAAGCTTACAAAGGAAGCTTTCCTAACCATCTGTGCTGAAGTATAATATTTGAAGAGAGAAGTAAGAAGGAAACCAGTAAGCTTAGCATCCAGCCAGAGAAGAAAGAGAAAGGAAGAGAGTTCTTGGCTGAGGGGAGAGAGAGATGATTTTAAATTTTTTAAAAAGATTTTGTTCTAAGATATCAAAATTGAAATATGATTGTTGCTTTGTGAAAATATTGATTTAGTTCTGAAATTCCTTTCCTAAGGATCTGGAATTGTTTAACCATGAACATAGCCTCCTTGTGGAAATTTGAGCTGAACACTAGGGCATTGGGAGTGCTATTTACATTACTTCGTTAGTTGTCTTTGAAATTTTGAGATATTGAAATATTCTGAAAAACGAACTCGTGGAATTTTGTTTGATATAATTTCGTTTAGTATTGAATTTTCAATTTTCTATGGAAATTTGAAGTTAAGAAAACAATTCTGTTATGCAAATTATTCAGGGTAGAATTTCTCCACATCTCCACTGCTTGTGATATTTTGTGCAGATGTCTTTGCGTGAAAAATTATTCAAGTGCATAGAAATTGCTTCCATTTGTAGCAAATCTAATTTGACTGATCAAGTGTTTCGTTGGAACTTGGAACTATATGGTAACTTTAAAGTATTGTTTGTTGAAGTCCACTTGGCTTTAGTGTCAGTCAATTTGCATTTATTTACTATTTTCTATGGATTTTAGAAGATAGATGGCTTCTGCTAGATATTTTGTGATAGCTTATTTTCAGGAAATTTTCTGTATAATCATAGTTTAATTTTATGAAAGTTTACTTGTTGTACCTTGACACATAACGCACTTTCTAGAATTTTACTTGGCTATTGAATTCGATGTATTTGATATCTAGTAAATTTACTAATGAAGTATTGATGGAAGGAGAATGATTTGCTCATCGGATTTGTGTACGGTTACTGAATTTGGTATTTGATTGTGTTTTCCACTGTGTATGTGCCTTGGAATCAATTAGGTAGGGTAAGAGTTTCCCTTAGGTTGAAAGACTTTAAACGGCGCTGGCCGTTACGATTCTTTGCGAATGATGAGTGAATGCATTTGATTGAGTAATTTAGGAGTTTGGTTAGGAGCCCAATAAGTGTTGAACATATTACTGGATGGTTTCTCACTAGTCAATGTTGTGTCAACCTCATGAATTGCCAAAGCTAGCTACTTGTTTGAATCTGTGTTACCTTCAAATCAATCAGATGACCAGTTTATTTTAACTAAGTTTATGGTTTCTATCTTTATCAAGGATTTCAAACTCTTATCTTTTGAAGCTTTATCTTTTAAATGTTTTACTGAACCAACGTCAACATTCAAGTTTGACTCCGGCACCTTATGATATAGACATTGCAGTTCCTTTGCTTAAGATGGAAAACTGTGAAGTTCGGTTCAGAAGGGGGTAAAACAGCTTACATAGGAACTCCTGATTTCTCTAGGTTTTCAAGCTTAGGGAGATTGATTTTTATAGTGTGTAAAAGTATGACTTACATTATGTTGTCCATTGGGAACCAAATCAGTTTGAGAGTGCTTGGCATAAGTGAATCTGCCTTAATCAAGTTACTTGACGCTATTGAAAATTTAGAGGATCCTGAAATAATTAATGCCGTGATTTGTAGTTTGCAAAAGTTAAATTTCTAGTAGTTTTGGGAGATTGTTCTCTTTGAGAATCTTGAGATTAGATTTTATGGATATTTATTTCCTACCAACAAGTATTTGTGGGCTTTGTCACTTCGAATCCTTTGATTAGCAGGTCTGTAAACAGGTAGACTGAAAGCGTTTTTAGTATTGTTAGTGTACCCAGACTTAGAGTTGTTTTTTTTAATGGTTCGTATAATTATTGGTTATGATTTTGGCTGGTCCCATATCTTAATGTCATATTTTTACTGTGATCTTATTTCAGTAAGCTATGTGGATCCCTTAATTTTTGAATGGCGTAGCATGTGCTACTTGGTTATATAAATGGCTAGCTTTGGTCACTTATTGTTGTGAAGCAAACTTAGTGAGATTATATATTTGCAATAGCCATGCTTGATATCTTTGAGTGGGAGAGATATATATGGTGGAATTAGAAGTTTAAAGGATAGATTGGGCAGGCATTTTTATATGAATAATTCATGAGAATTGAGGTATACCTTGGATTTTAGCAAGGAGTGATGAGTAGTAGTTAGGAAGTCCTTGCACTTTTTATTACTGATACAAGCTAGCTTGAGTTCAAAATTAGTATATCTCTGTTTGATGACTGATAGGAAAATTTTGGGGAAAAAAAATAATAATAATAATTTAGGAATAGTAGCAGAATGAGCCTCATTGACAAATGCCTAGCTTTATAATTTTTGCGTCTTTTCATATTTACTTTTATGTCATTCAGCTCTTGTTTTTAACATATTTTTTTTTGTGGCAAATATTTCATTTTTTTTTGTTTGTTTTGCCATAGCATTTGTAGAAAAAATGATAGTAGCATTTCATATAGTTGTACATAATCACGTTTTCTCAAACTTTACAGTTAGCTTGCCCTACACTACCTTTCTTGCCACATAAGATTTCATCCCATTTACGTCTAAATGCCTCTACTATATATATATATATTCCTTTTTCTTGTCACATAAATGCTTTTGAGCAGCGTAGTATTAAAAAATTGAACTTAGAGAAAGGAATTTTACTCAGATTGACGTGTATAGCGATGTTGAGTATGCAATGCATTATAAATTAATTTTCTTCAAAACATAAAAAATAGAGTTCGTTGTTTATATTGAGATGTTTAGGAAATTATTGAATAAAGTACTTTGCTGTTATTAGACGAATCTATGCTTCATTTTATTGTTGGTATGATTAAATGGATATACCTCTTGACACATTGTCTTCCACTAGGTGCTTTGTTTTTGGTGTTATTTACAATATCAGTAATCAAACAGTATAATCAATATTAAAAATGTTCATTTAGTTTTTCAAGCTGTTCCTTTGAGGATTCATTTTTGAAGTTCTAGATTATATAATGGTTATTTTTTCCTGAAATTTCATTTATCTTTCTCTGACCATTAAAGATTTATTTTAGACAGAGAATACAATATTTTTTATTTATTTATTTTTCCTGAAAGGTATTTTTGACATTGAATATTGCTAATCAGTTTTCCTCAAGATTTTGGGTATAGTCTCCGAAGCAAATATTTTGAATTTTCTTACAGTTATCCTTAATGCTACTAGCTCATTTCATTTTTTCAGGGAGAACGCAACTTTAATAGATTCGGTGGGTGGCTGGGAAAAAATTCAACAATGGGAAAGAATTTTAGGCTTTTGGAGGATCTGCATGTTCATCTTCTTGCTTCTCGTGAATCTAACTTGGGGAGGTATCTGCATTCTGTTTTCTGGTTATAACTTCATTATTTAGACGAACATGTCTTATTTAATGCTTCTGGTGGTTACTTCCAAAGCACCCAGCATTACTTGGATAGCATTTTTTAGGTCTCTCTATTGATATTGTTTGGGTTATTCTAGGCAGTATCTGAAGTTCAAATTTCTGAGTTTTTGCAACTTCTAGTCACAAGTTCAATTTTGCATTCCACAATAGGCATGATGATAGCCAAACAAAGTTTGCTGTGTGTGTATATGTGTATTTGAGTTTCTGTTCATTAAATTTTTTGTGAATTGCCAAATGAGGGAGGGATGTGCATGGCACAAGTATGGAGTACATGGACAAAATTGTTTGACATGGCAAATTCTTCCGGAGGGTGATGTTTATACTCAACAAGTGATTCCTTACTATGATGGAGGAGCTGAAGAGTGTTGGTAACTACATACTAGTTGTATTATCTTAAGGTAAAGTCGACTGTCGACCATAGAAGTAATAATAAAAAATTGTGGGAAGCATCTCTGTCGTAAGGGTTTTGTATTACTTTATCTTTTAGTTAAATAATTGAGTAACACCACCCATGTAGAGATCCTTGATATTACCCATATAAATAATAATAAAGTTTTAATAAATGATAGAAATGAGAAAAGAAGGAAAGGAAAGGGTGGGGGTAGCATCTGTGCCCTATATTAATTTTTGGTGAATCTAAGACATTCATTGGTTCTATGCCATTATTTTTTAAGTGTATATGATGTAAGTGAGATACCTTGTTCAATTAATTAAGAGGTTCCTTGAATGGGATAAATTTTATACTGTTACCTTTGGAAAGGTGGTGGAGCCTTGGAGGCGGTGCTGTATGCTTCTAAAGATATCATGACATGTCATGATGTGCCGTTGTCTGAATCTGTGCAGTGGTTGTGCCCCATATTTTGTATTGAGAGTAGGACTTTTTTGTGGAATTTGTTAATTTTGTTTAGTTTACTTTTGTCACTTACAATTTGTGAATTTAAAAAAAAATTTAAATTTTTTTATAAACGTCAATTTTCTTTTTCCTACTGATTCTTGTTGTCAAGGATGCTTGAGGGAAAAACTTGCAATATTTTGAACAGCATGATTTTACCCTTCGGGGTCAATTCGTTCTCTTCATTCTTTCCTGAAGTCATCTTGTCAACTTTTATCGTTTGAAAGAATCCAGAAATGATGGCGCTTTGGTGTGTTTCTCCTGATGTAGCTTGATTATGAACTTGTGATTCTGTTTGTACTGTTCCATTTTTAAAATATATTTATACAGAAAGTGTTTCGTTTTACCATTAGAGACTGAGTTGACTCTTCATCTTTGAGTGTTTGAAAGAATCCTGAAATGTTGGTGCTTTGATACGTTTCTCCTGATTTAAAGCTTGGTTGAGAACTTGTGATTCTTTTTGTAATTTTCCATTCTTTTATTTCATCTTGTTTCAATTTTGAGACTCGTATTCATATCTTTTTGCAGCCTGAAGGCTTTCTCGTTCCACTTTTCTTGCAAACTGCTAAATTATTCTGTTCTGTTTGTTGCAGGACAACATTGCGAGTTGATTACCTCACTCTTTTTCTGAAACAGTTGACTGGTCCACTCCGAATGCTGCCTAAGGTTTGAAATTTATTATTTGTAATAATAGCATAATATTGGTTTTCTTTTGAGCACCCATCATATCCTGTGGAATTAATCATTAGGATGAAGCTGTGGAGAAGGTTGTGGAGTTTATGGATTCCTACTCTATAAGCCAGGAGGACTTCGATACTATTCTGGAGCTATCCAAATTTCATGTACGCCATGTACACTCTTCCTGTGTCTGATGACAGTTTTTGATACTTCTTACTTATTTGATTAATTTTTTATTCTTCAGGGGCACCCAAATCCAATGGATGGCATACAACCAGCTGTCAAAGCTGCATTGACGAAGGCATACAATAAAGGGAGCAGCTCACGTGTGGTTCGAACAGCAGATTTAATTACACTTCCTGGAATGAAAAAAGCCCCCAAGAAGCGGATTGCAGCGATGCTAGAACCAGTGGACGATGGGGTAGCAGAGGAGACTGGTGACACAATGGCAGAAAATGAAGAAGACAACTCTTCAGACACAGAGGACTTCGGTACATTTCTTCCTCAAAGCCCCGTTGTGTTTGATCTGCCTTGACATAATCCTGTTACAACTTAACATAATCAATACAAAGCCTGGTTTTTCTGGAACACTTTTTAAAGCTTCTTTTTTCTCTCATATTTCGAGTGATGTCTCTTGTGCTTTTAGAAATTATATACCGTTGTTGGCTATTCTGTGCCAAGTCAAATTTTCTCGTGATGGCTGTTTTAGTAATTCCAGAAAGGGTGATAAACTGAATGATAATTATCTCAAGGCAAATTCTCTTATGATGGCTGTTTTACTAATTCCAGAAAGGGTTGTGAACTGGACGGCTATGGCCATTTGTTTTGTTTGTTCTTTCCCCATTTTTTCTTTTTATTCTCGTAGTTATTTGCAGCCAGTGTCTTTACCTCTTTTTTTTTGTTTTATTTTTATTATTATTATTATTATTATTATTATTATTATTATTTATGTTTGTCCCTTGATCAGTTGATATTAATATTTGTTGTTGGGGGATACGGATTTAGGTTTGTTGTTTTTTAAGTTGCCATTGCTTATTTAGATTATGTTTACATAGCTGTGGTCATTATTCAGTCATGGCGAGGATTACCCCTCAATGTTATAGGATATCCTTTAATTTTTTGAGCTCGGGCTATCAAGCTTGGGAATCAGTTTGAGTCTGAGGGCAGCCACTTCGTGCAAAAAATACTGTGTCTTAGGTCCCATGCCTGGTCAATCCTTGCCAGCATCTTACATTGGTGGGACTAACAGTGACCTTTTTTATTATTGGGTATCTTATTCCATAGTAGATTGCGATAGTGATCAGGAGGAGTAGGGAAAAAATGTTATATGCTCATAACAGGACTTGGAAAAGTTTATGCAACTTGGGGCATGGCCATACATTTACATCATGCGGGATGTACATATTAGCACAGACTGTACCATGTTTTACCTTGGAAAAACCTTTTATTGCTACAATCATCTTCATGTCTTCTCAGTATAATGATATATAACTTTTAAACCAGTATGATTGAAAATTTAAGTGTATTGGTTTCTGTGATTTTATTTGTTTCTTGTTCGTGGGTTGTCAGGAGGCGCCGTTGACGGTGAGAAAAAGCTGCAACTGGATCTCCAGAGTCTTAATTCAAAAGGTTTGTGGTATTTTCTTTCTATTTAGGTGTTGGAAATCACTTGCAACTTTTACTGCAACTCTTTTCACTGGTGTTTTCTGTATACTGTCATAATTGATGGTGTTTTTTTTTTTTTTAAACACACACGCTATTTTTGCCCACGCCGGGGCTCGAACCCCTCCCCTCTTCTTTGAAGATGGAGAGGTTATACCATAGGTTGCTATAATGTTTATGACTAAATTTCTGCAGGAATTCAAGTAGATGTAGATTTGAAGGGTTCTGGAAGTACAAGTGCCAAGAAGGCACCGTCGGGCAGAGGAAGAGGAGGTTCTGTAGCCACGGATAAGAAAGGTGGCCGAGGATCTGGTGCTGCTGCCAAGAGAAAGAGATGAGACGTGGTGGTAGTAAAAATGGGTTTTCATTAAAACCAGTTGTAAGTAGTGTTTTCTCCTTGAACTTTTTTCCAGTTGCCTGGTGGGGGCTTGTATGAGAAATGGAAGAAAATCGTCCGACAGCATCTTTTGAAGTGTGTGATATATATTTTTGTAAAAAGAGAAGGGTGTTGTGCAATTATTCGACCATGGCGTGGTCGGACGCAAGTGACATATATAATGCCCCGGCAGCATCAGTTTTGTTTCTCTTTCATCATCATTTTTCCTATCTTCTCTCTCTACCAGGGTGTTTAGCTGTCTGCAAACGCAATAATCTGCTCGTCTTGCATGTACTCTTGAATGCTGAGGACTTTCGTCACTCCAGCCCTCATGTTAACTCTTTACGCATGTGCTACAGGAGGCTCCTATACGGGGGATGGGAATGAATTTTGGATGTCATTGAAAATTTCAAACGATGTTGGACATTTCTGTTTTTGTAACGTAGCTCTAAATTAAAATACAAACCGAGCCAGGGTCATGTGGTCTGTCTACGTTTTTGTTTTTTTTTTTTTCAAACTAGGCTTTGTTTGGATGTAGTAGCCCAATCCAGCGCAAAGCTTGGGTTGGGTTGTTCCCAAAACTTGAACATGCCTGGGCTGGACCTGAGTTTTGGTACTAAGCAACCCAAATAATCAATCTTTAAGTAATCCAACTTGATCCCTTTGGGTTAGAAAAGTAGTTGCAAATTTTTTCCTACGCAGAAAAGCAAATGTTTTCCTAAGGGTGTGTTTGGAAAGTATTAGTAATGAGAGAAAAGAAAAGAAAAGAAAGGATAGTATTAGTGAGAAAAGAAAAGAAAAGAAAAGAAAAGAAATGATAGTAATAATTTCTATTTGTGTTTGGATAGATAGGAGAGAAAAGAAAAGAAGTGATATTTATTTTTGTTTGGATAAGATAGAGGAGAGAAAAGAAAAGAAAGGATAATAGACAAATTACTTTTTTACCCTTTCATAACCATGGGACTTGAATGGAATAATAAATCTGTCTATTGATTTGTGGAGGATAATTTTGGCATTATCAAAATACCACTAAAATCACTATCCTTTTTCTCACTATCTCTCCCCATCTTCTCAATTTTGAGGAGAAAGCAAATAAGAGATAGAGAGGGATAGCTATCCCTCCCTATCTCTCCTTATCCCTCCACTTAAGTTACTCAAACACAAAGTTACACTATCCTCTCTTTTCTCTTCTCTCCCTATTCCTCCAAATCAACCCTACTAAACACACCTTAAATGTCATCTATAGCCTTGTTGTAGCAAAAATGAGTAATGGGAAACTATTTAAATCTAGACTGATAATTATATTGGTCACAGGAGTTAATTTTTGCGCTAACACATTTCTCTCTCTTCCTCTTCGTTTCTCTCTCCGGTTCTTCATCAATTCTCAATTCTTCTTATCTATCCTTTCTCACGAATTTTATTGGTCAAATTTCTCTTTTATAATTAATTCTTTTGTCGTATGCATATATTTAAAGTATTATAGAGAGAAGACCCAAAATTAATGTAAAAGAGTTTTTTTACGGTAAGTAAATATGCACAAGCGTTGCCATTACAACACAGTTTCTTTTTGATTTTCATATATAAGAAACAATAGTTGAAGCTTTTATTATTATTATTATTATTATTTTCTTTTTTGGTTTTGTGCCTTCCGTACTTGCAAAACATGAAGAAATTTTAATTTTTTTTTATCTTCAATTTTGCCAAAATCAAAAGTAGAGAGATAAAATTAAGATAAGATTCAATAGAAAAAACTAGAATTAGATGAAGCAATGAGAGTGAAATAGGAGCATTTCCTGCGTTTATTAAGAAATAATCTGACGTGGCCTGACCTTGTTAAGTTCCGCTTGTCATTAGGTTGTATGGTTCGCTTCTCATTATGTTGTTTGGTTCGGTTGTATCATTTTCCATTTTGAAATCACCGTCCAATGTTTTGGTCCACTCGAACTGATAAGTGATAATGGATCTCTTCTCAGTCTACTCCACTCATCACTCTCACTCCTCACCACCCTTCGTACTCGCCGGGAAACACCACCCCACCACCACCTCCGCCGCCACTCCCCCTTTCTCTGTTTCCTTAAAATCCTCCTCGCAGGAGTCTGACAAACCCACTACCTCTTCTCCGTTCTCCGGCCATTTCCGCCGCCCCAACAGCCACAAGCCCCTAAAAACCTCCTCCTCCAATCCCACTCCTCCAAACCCTAAAATCCCCTCCAATCCCCTCAAAAACCTCGTTAATCCCACTAACACTACACAAAGTCTCACCAATAAGCTCTGGTTAACCAGTAAACTCTCTCCCCCTCCTCCTCCTCCACCGCCTCCGCCACCTGCCCCGCCGGAAAAAACCCATAGAGAAGAAAATGAAATTAGGGTTTCAGATGATTCGGGTTCCGACCAATTGCCGAGAGTTGAATTCAGGCAGGAAGGGAAAATCTTTGTGGGGAATCTACCACTTTGGATTAAAAAGAACGAAGTTGCTGAGTTTTTCCGGCAATTCGGGCCGATTAAGAATGTGATTTTGATAAAGGGTCACGAGGATACTGATAGGAATGTGGGGTTTGGGTTTGTTATATATGGTGGTCCGATTGCGGCAAAGTCCGCCATGAAGGCTGTGGAGTTTGACGGAGTGGAGTTCCATGGGAGGGTGCTGACTGTGAAGTTGGACGATGGGAGGAGACTGAAGGTGAGGTCGGAGGAGAGGACGAGGTGGGTGGAGGGAGAGGATAGAGTGGAGTATAGGTCAAAGTGGCACGAAGATAGGGAGGGTTCGAGAAGGGAATTTAGGAGGGTTTTGGAGACTCAACCGGAGAATTGGCAGGCTGTTGTTCGAGCTTTCGAGAAGATTAAGAAGGTATTTTATTTGAACATTTTTTAGCTTGTGTTCCAGTGCATGGTACCTTGGATTTGAAACTGGTGCCTCAGTTCTAGTTTCAGGGTTTGGTTGCATTTGTTTATCAATGCTGTGGAAATTAGGTTTCAAATTTTGCTCAACTTTGTCACACCAAATGTTTGTTTGTTTTTTTTTTCAAATAAGCATTTTTTTTGGGTGCTGGATATGGCTTGCAAGTTGCAATTCGTGGATAAAATTAGTTGGAAACTCTTGTTTCAAGGCTGATTGTAGACTGTAGTAAGTCTGCTACAAGCTGAAATTGGTTTTCCACAAAAAGCTACTGTATTTACTTGTGTTGGTTAAGGTATAAAAAAATTAGGGGTTCTGACATTTCCTTTTTCCCCCTTTGAAAAGGTCTTTATCTCATGAATTTTGTATCTGAAGAGTTAGATTGGAACTCTCTCTCTCTCTCTATATATATCAACATGTGCATTTTCAACTGGCATCTGAGCTTCTACAAAAGATTATTGATGCATCTTTGTATAGCATCTCCAATCATTTTGATTTTTTATGGAATATTCTGAATCTCTCATTCCGTACTTCAACATCAAATGATTTGGGTGTTCACTGGTTCACGTTGTCACCCTGCTTGCCATACCTGTTAAAATGGCACCTGATACCTAAAAGTTCCCAAGGTTGTCAATGGTTAGTCAAACCATGCCAACCTATACTACAGGCAAGGACTGTCTAGTCAGGTGCACGTAATTCCCTCAGGCGCATGCATATTTTCTTGCTAAAAAGTATGATACTTTTGCGGTTCAGAGAGGGTAAACTAGAACCAAACTGATCCTTATAGTTATGTAAAAGTTGGAGCGGAACCAATGAAACTGTCTAAACCAAACAAATCCTAACCTTACAAGAACAGTTGGATCGGTTTAATTTTACCAATTAAGCTTACATAAAAACATATTCTAATATTAACTATGTTTAGTTAAATAAAGCCTTATTTAACCCAATTTTTTGTGACGAAATTAAATTTTCATCTGTTACCTACTTCTATTTTCTAAAATCATCTGGTAACATAAGAATAATTTAATATGGAAACAAGAAAGATAATTTATTTTTGTAAATGGTAACATAAGAATAATTTAATATGGAAACAAGAAAGATAATTTATTTTTGTAAATGAGGATCAAGGTTTTAAGGTGTATATAAAACATTGGTTAATGTTACCCTATCAAATGAAAACAAATGTATGTGTATGTCTAAATATCACGGTTTGGTTCAGATTGGCTTGGTTTTTTTGGCATCTAAGCCCTGAACTACACCATCCTAGCAGTTCCACTATTTTTGGAATCAGAACTAAATCGCTGTCACAGAATGGTCAGAACCAAAAGATAACGTTTCCCTTAAATATTAAAATATTAAAGGATTATCCAAAGTGAACACTTCTGGTATTTAGGGTCATTAATACAAAAGGATGGTGAGATCAATGGTGATCTACCTATAGGATAGACTTAGGTTGGACAAAATGGAGACAAGCTAGTGGTGTGTGACAAACAAATACCATATAAACTAAAAGGAAAATTTCATTGAACAACTATTAGGCCAACCATTTTATATGGCGCAGAGTGTTGGGTTTAAAAAGAAACAAGAACAATGAATTCATGTAGCAGAAATGAGGATGTTCAGATGGATGATTGGATTGATTAGAAAAGATAGGGTTTCAAACAAAAATGTGTGGGAGAAACTATGTATAGCACCTATTAGTGAGAAGATTAGAGAGAGTAGACTTTGGTGGTATGGACATATACATAAAAGAACTATAGATGCACTGGTGAGAAGAGTAAGGATAATTTGCATAGAGGATAGGAGGCAGAGAGGTCATCCGAAATTAACATGGAATGAAATTATTAGAAATTATTTTGAAACTGAAATATTAGAGAAGAGATGGCGTGTAATTGAAAAAAATGGAAAAAGAGAATTCATGTGGCCAGCCCCATTCATATGGGATTAAAGCAAGGATGATGAGAATGATGATAAAATGATATGAATATTCAACTGTGTCCGTCTTTGGATTCCTGGATTTATATGCCAGACTCTTAGGCGCAAATCCACACCTGACATACATACCCTATATTTCATGTAGCGTTGAAAAATTTGGGGCTATTTGGGAAGCTTGGGAATTGGATGTCATCACGCACCTAAGCAGCACATTCTCTGATTTTAGTGAAACTAACTTGATGTTGGTTTGAGTGAGTACTGAATAATACCAAAAATTTTAAGGATGATGTTTGTGACCACATAATTTACTGTAACCGGTGGAAAACTCTCAATTGGCCTAGTTTTTGGGTTTCCAAACTGCTCCTTAGATTTATTTTTAAAACATTTGAACAGAACAGTGTTATTAGTGATTTATTAAATTTATTTTTATATAGAAACTGTCATCTTTATTTTCTTCATAGCAATCTAGTATATGTGATATGCCAATCATATAAAATACGGAATATGGATATGTTATATGTTTCAGTCATAAAGTTTTTCTTAATAGACATTCCTTGGTGTAAAAATGCTATAAACTTGTGGACAGATCCTTTCCTTTTCATTGCAGACGATAAACTGTTACCTCTGGGATAATAATGCTTCACTTCACTTTTTGTCTTGGAAACATATAATACTTGTCTATCATCTCAGGAGGCACAATATATACTGTATGTATTACTTGCTTTCAAAATAATGCTTTAATATATATATATATATATATTTTTCGGTTTCAAGAACATCTGATTTACATTTTGAATCATTTGAATAATATGAATGATATATATTTTTATATATTTTAATTTTTTTAATATATGTAGCCTTCTAGAAAAGAGTTTGGGTTGATTGTGAACTATTATGCAAGGCGGGGAGATATGCATCGTGCACGTGAAGCTTTTGAGAGCATGCAGGCCAGGGGAATAGAGCCAACCTCACATGTTTATACAAAGTAAAAACCTATGCCAGTGTTTGTTTACATTGTACTTCTGATTTGCCTTCCACAGTCATGAGCTAACTTTGATGTTTTAAGATCATTTTTGCAACTCTGATATTCTGAGATTATTTCTGGAACCCGAAACTTTGCACAGTAATTCTTTATATCAATTCAAAGATCTGAGTACGTACTTTGAGAACCTTTTAGGTATGTAATGTTTAGGTAACCGGGATTGTCTCTTGGTGCCTGTGTGAGAACAGGGCTACGAGAGTTGGTGGCTTCTTGTTTCTTTCTAATTACATTTTTTAAAAAATCATCTGTTTGCCATCATTAATGTAATAATAATAATTATTTTTTTCATGCAGCCTAATTCACGCTTATGCAGTAGGTAGAGACATGGAGGAAGCTCTATCTTGTGTGAGGAAAATGAAAGATGAGGACATCAATATGAGTTTGGTGACTTACAGTGTTCTTGTTGGGGGATTTGCTAAAGTCCGCAACATTGAGTAAGCGTAGTATACATTTGACATCATGTACCTTACACTTTTTTTTTCCTCTTCAATTTCAAAAGTAGTAGTTAGACCACAATACTCTCTTCCGCTTTCTGTTTGTTTTTTCCTTTACTTTTAATCTCATATTTAAGTAAGCCTTTTTTTTTTTTTTCATCCACTGTTATTACCATCATCATTATAATTATTCTTTTATTAGATATCTCATCTGGGGTCCGTTCTTATTTTCCCATTGAAATTGGTTAGAACTTTTGGTTAAAATTTTGCTTTTATTGGAAATTAAAATATGTTTTCTGAGTTTATGGATGTTCTAAGAAATTAATAAAAACTGAATTAAGAGGTTAGCATACACAATTTTGCTTGTTAAATAGTTATCTGTGTTTCATCTGTATGGGCACTCACTTCAAGCTTTACAATAGCAACTAATTTGACACGTTCTTCACTGAAAAAACTGACATGTTGCAGAAGCTCACTACTTTATAATCTTCTCTACCAGCTTGGGTAACTCTTTGGATTATTCTATGACAACTTGATCTTTTCCTACTTCAAATTGTAATCATGAACAAAGAATGTCCAACAACCTGGACCAAAAATTAAAACAACCGAAAGTTTAGAAAGTACCATGGAAACTAGATCATAAAGGTTTCCTGATTTGTGTAAAGTTCATAATCTTGAATTCTCTAAACAATGCTACATCACTAATAACTAAGCTTTTGACCTTTTGTGTTTCAATGACATGCATTATTTTGTACCAATGGCTGGATGAACAATTTCTTTTTCTATTTTTTGTTTTTTTAATTTTTAATTTTTTTATATAGATACTGGATGAACATTTTGTATCACTAATATCTAATATCTCTTCTTGTTGCTTTGGAAGGGCTGCAGATCAATGGTTTAAGGAGGCCAAAGAGAGACATACAAACTTAAACGCAATCATATATGGGAGCATAATTTATGCTCATTGGTGCGTTATCCCCTTTTAGAGTAAAGAATTTGTTGAAGTCCATTTGACTATTTGAGCTAATAATCCAGAAAAGAAGTACCTTAATGCTGCATTTTGCAATATTGAGTGGTGCATGAAGACCTCTCATGTAATTTTAGTTACCTAGGAGATTTCTATGCCAGAATGTACCGTGTCTAACAGCAAGTTATGTTTACATATCAGCAAGTAGTGCCACCTTTAGCTTGGGAATTATGTTTGAGTTGATGAGTTAGGGGACCAAATAATTACTCTCTTCATTTTGTCTATATGAGAATGATCTCTCTTGAAGATTATCGTTTCTCCGCTGAATTTGAGGTTCTAATAGCCCTCCAAATTATATTGGACAAATTTTTTTAGATGATTATTTAATCCAAGCCTGGCATTTAGTATCTACAAGACAAGCTCGGGGAGCCAGAATCTTTGAATTGATGTTCTCATACCTGTTTGTTAGATTAAAAAAGGTAAAAGTAATCCTTTTATTTGATCTCTAACGATGCTTCTCTCAAAAATTCCTTAGGGAAACATGCACTAAAGTTTAGCCTGATTAAATTATTCAAAGGTGGAGTCCACCTGCTAATGATGTTAATCAAGGTTGGTGTTGTTGTCAGGGGCTTATTTGTTATTACTCATAAATGTAGGGGGCTTATGTGTAGTTTATGAAACTTCTTAATATAAATAGAATCTGGTGGAAGGAATAAAGGATTTTTTTATTCTCTCTCTTTCCCCATCTCTCTCTCTCTTTCTCTCATCCTCTTCCTTCTCTTCTTATACTTTACTCTTGTTTTGATTATATCTTAAAGCCGATAGGTGTCTCATTGCTTTCTAGATAAGGAGGATGTTAATTTGGCCGAGCTCAAGCCTGGATATGTCATATGGTCATGCTTACCTCAATTAGGCTCCTGCAATAGATATGGTGCTGAAAAATTAATTGTTCAATCTTGATGATAATTGGATGACTTCAAGAAATATTTAAATAATTAATACTAGTACAGTTCTTAAGAAATATGATAAAAGATAATGCTCAAAGAGGCTTATTACCGAGGAGATGCATTTTCTATTTTGAGGTATTAAGTAGAAGGGGCAAAGAAAGATCTGCATTCGAAGTCACCTCTAGTTTATATGAGAAGAAATTGGAAGATCAAGGAGCGAAGAGATCCTGCACTTCAGATTTATTCTAAATCTCAATAACTATTTGTGTTGGTGAGAAAGACTAGGACCTTATTACCCATGCCATGGCCAATTTTACATTTTAAGTTACAGACCTGGTATTCTACTGGATCTGTTCTCCCATATCTTGTATAGTTTACACTAAAGCCCATCAGATTTTTCTTTTGCCTGATTTTGCGATTCAACCAAAGTGGTCAATTGATGAAAGAAGATCATGCCTTTTAAACATTTTTGTTGTGATTGATGGTGGTACTAGCTCTAGAGGGAAGCTAGAAATTCCCCTCTTATTTTATTCAAGAGAGAGGAAATGAGATTTCAAATCAGTTAAAGCTAATATCCTATAATTTTGAAGTTCCTGCAAATGCATCTTTTATAGTATTGATCATTTTTCTTAAAAACCCATATGTTATTCTATTTTTGAACAGTTCTAGAAAGTTTAATCGAAGGAATTTTATGGAACTTCCCAAACAATATGTACCTTTTTAGAAGCTATAATTGGCCAACATATCTGCCTTTTCACCTATTCTTGGACACCTGAACACTTAACCTATGCCAGCTTAAACACGAGTGTGCATTCATGACCATATTCACGTTTCAGCATGCACAGCCTTGCAGTCACACCACATCCATGTTCATGTACCATAGAGTTTTAATTATTTTAGAGCAAAGTGACCCTTAGAATACAGACGAGTTAATGCATTGTTTTTTTTTTTTTTTTTTTTCCCTAGTTGGTACTCACACCCACTTGTCTCTTCTGAGACTTTAACCCCTGACCTTCCTTTCAAAAGTAAGGCTGACACCGCTAGGACACTGGCTCATTGGTTTAATGCATTGTTTCACTTGCTCACACTAATTTTCATATGCTATTGATGTTTTGACTATGCAAATTATGCATTACTATTTTACATTTTACATTTGCTCACACTATTTGAGATCATCTTTTGGAGTTTATGGATAGTCTGAAATTATAGTGTCACCTTGGGCTTCTTTGTATTTCTTAGGGTTCACTCCCCTTTTGAGTGTCGTTTTATGAAATCTTGTCGAAAAAAATAAAAAGGTTTTGACTATGCGAAGATATTAAAATGTAAGACACAAAAGTCTAGTGAGGTCAATTACAGTGTTAGTATGTTTGCTGTTCCCAAGGCCTATCTAGTGAGCTCAATAACATACGCATCACCTATATGCCTTGGCTTTGGCTTAGATCAGAGATTATACTTTTGGATTTCGATGAAATTATTCTCTTTCCTGCATCTGAAATGAATAATTATCTATTAGATGAAGTTAAATTGTACATTTAATTTTCCATTCTTTTTGTACATCCTCTATTAAATTTGGTAAATGTTTTTTGTGCAGTATGTATTATACCAATGCATAGAGAGGATTTCCTAATTACAAACTTTAATTTGTTTCCTTTTTATTTTACTGCAACAACACAGCCAAATCTGTAATATGGATCGAGCTGAAGCCTTGGTGAGAGAGATGGAAGAGGAAGGTATTGATGCTTCAATTGACATATATCACACCATGATGGATGGTTACACAATGATCCGAAATGAAGATAAATGTCTGGTTGTGTTTGACAGACTTAAGGTAGCTCACTTTTAAATTTTTAATTACTGAGGTCTTTTAGAAATCTGAATGCTGTAAAAAAATCATGATCAGATCTTTAATTTATTGGTTTTTAAAGTTTGGCTGTAGTTTCTTTATTCGTATCCGTGCTAAAATTATTTATAGAGGAAAAATAAATGCAAGCTATATTTTAATATATTGACTGGGGGAGATTTTTTACCTTTCATGTTTTCTGTATACATGATCAACATTTCATATTGCAGTATAGTAAACCTAATATGCTAACATTTGATTGTTGTTGTAGGAATGTGGCTTTATGCCTTCAGTGATCAGTTATGGATGTCTTATTAATCTTTACACTAAGGTAAAGAAAAATTTTCTTCCCCATTACTCTAGTTGTCATTTGGGCGTTGGCCTTGGTTTTTTGATTTTTTTGGACTGTTAACATATGGCAATATATACATGTAATATCTACATTAACCCGTTCTTTTCATGTAATTTTCCAATATATACATGCAATATACATAATTTCTACTCTAGTCCTTATTTAACGAAAAAAATAAATTCTACTCTAGTCCTTGATGTGCCATATATATATTTACATATACATGACATCTTAGAATGCCATGATTTTCTGGCTCTGTTTCTCCTGCTCCATATTAGTTCACTAAATTGTAGATCTGGAAAGTGAAAATTATTCAAACTAGGTGGTTAAACACTAAATTGTCTGATAAGATTGGCAGATTATGAAACTCTCCTAGTTGCTTCTGGATAATTCCCACTCTTGGGTTCCTTCATCACTCATTTTCTAAATTCCACACCGTATCCTTTAAACATTTAGTTTTTTGGGAGTTCCTTCTGGGACTTTTCTTTCAGTGACTAATTGAAATATATATTTAAAGATCACACACGACTCTAATTCTGACTCTCATTCTAAGCTTGAGGATTCTGATTATGGTCATCTCTCTCTCTCGCTTGTGCGCGCGCGGAGTGGAGGGTCTCTGCTAGAGTGATCTTCCAGTCCTTTTTTTTTTTTTTTCTTTTTGGGTTGCACATCAATTTCTTCATTCTGGAGGTTCTTTTTCCTTCTTACTATAATAAAGCTCTAGTAACCATTTTCGTTTCTTAGTAAATTTCTTCTACTATAGTAATTTCATGGTGTAATATCAAAACTTGGGCTGCCAACTGTTATTAAATATGGGTTTGATAATGAAAAGTGAGAACAACTACTTCACATTAATAATCCAAAAAGTTATGCCTTTATCCTATTTACTCCTTCCAGCACCGTGCATTGCTGGCACCGACACTTAGTGACAACCTTTCTTTTCTCTTCAAGTATGTGATTCTGATTTTTTTTATTTTATTTGTTATTTTATGTATTTGTTAGATAAAAGAATACTATATTGGAAGTGATGATTATTTCCCCAGATGATCGACGCTGATATTATCGAGCTTTTTATTTATCTCTTTTTTGAGAATTTAAGCCAGGACAAAAAGAAAGAATACTATATTTGGGAACAGCTCGCCGTTTGTTATACAACCTATGTCACATGCTCTCCATACCTCACATTATCTTCTTTCCTTTAGTCTATCTTATGTCACTTTACTCGTAGAGTATGATGATTCCTCTGTCTAAAGAATTAACAGACTAGTGTAAGTATTCTATATGCAGTGCAGCTTCATTTCTTTGAAGTCATTATGTTATCTTGATTTTAAAACAAGTGGCATGAAATTTTGGAAAAGTATAAACACCAAAGAGGGGCTGGTTTAATAGAAAGCATACATTGTATTGATTGATTGTAAATTATGATGATGTATTAATTATGTATGTCCACTGTATACCATACTTTAAACTACTGTTTTGATACATCTAATCTCTTTCCAATTGATGAGGAAAGCTAAATCGTGTCTTTTAGATGGGAAAAGTTTCAAAAGCTTTGGAGGTCAGCAAATTGATGAAATTGGATGGCATAAAGCATAACATGAAGACTTATTCCATGTTGATTAATGGGTTCATAAAACTAAAAGATTGGGCAAATGCGTTTGCTATTTTTGAAGATGTGGTGAGGGATGGTTTAAAGCCTGATGTTGTGCTCTACAATAACATCATCAGCGCATTCTGTGGCATGGGTAACATGGACCGTGCAATTCGTACTGTTGAGGAAATGCAAAGAGAGAGACATAGGCCTACCACACGGTCATTTATGCCCATAATACATGGTTTTGCGAGAGCCGGAGAAATGAGAAGAGCCCTAGAAGTTTTTGATATGATGAGGAGAAGTGGATGCATTCCAAATGTGCACACTTTCAATTCTCTGATTCTCGGCCTCACGGAAAAACGCCAGGTAAATTGTGCTCATTAAAATACTCCCTCTGTCCCATATTAATTGTCCACCTTTCCATTTTTAGCTGTCCCAAAATAATGTCCCTGTTGAAAAGTCAAATGTACTATATTTAGTAACATTACCAAAGTAACCTTCTTGCATTTAACTTATAAAAGCAATTAAAGTGGAAAACATGTGGACCCAGTATGGGTAGATTAAGTAATTCATTCACTACCAATACAATAAAAAAATACTAAAAATCATCCTCTTAAAAGGTTAGGTTCTCAAAAAGGGACAATTAAAATGGGACGGAAGGAGTAATTAGGAACCCCAGATCCTAGGTCTGCATCTGGATTACAGCTGTCAAAGGCTACTTAGGTATCTCTTGTTTGCTTGGTAACCACTTTTACAAGGTGCAGAACATGGCATGTTTCACAGCTATTTTTGTGCCCTTGATTCATAACAGTTTAAAGAAGTGAAAGAGAACAAGAAAAATTAAAAGCATCATATGTCGCTGCAATCGTTGCTTTGAGTGTTTTTATTCATTTTTCACAAAATGATCATTGGTTTTATGTTAGATTTTTGTTTTCACATTTTTGGTCCCAACTGTGCTGATCTCCTACATGAGTACAACTTCAATGCATGGAAAAGGAGAATATAAAAAAAATTTAAAAATGAAGAAGAAAAACATAGAGTAAGTTCTTTTCGTCTTTCTCTAGCCTTGTTCCCATAGAAGAAAAGTTTTCTGATAGGAAAACTGGCCTTGCCAACTACTTGATTTTTTTTTTTTTTTTGGATAAAATTTTGAAATTCGTTTATTGATTTTATGCGAGTCTACAATACTTTTTTGTCCCCAATTGATAAATGATGTTCTGGTTAGCAAATGCAATTACTTTATTTTATATGATGTTGAATTACTTTTAATGCACAGTTGGGTTATTTACTTGGGCTGTTAGGAAGCCAGCTAGGCCAACCCAGGTTGCTGGATCTTTTGTATGCTAGAGTTGATGTTATGGTTCTCGGTACATTAATTATCCATTTTTTCAAAAAGTGGTAATTTGATTTGTCTTGTATTTCTGGCAGATGGGAAAGGCTGTTGAAATATTAGATGAGATGCTGCTGGCAGGCATTAGTCCAAATGAGCATACTTACACGACCATCATGCATGGTTATGCATCATTGGGTGATACTGGAAAAGCTTTTGAGTATTTTACAAAATTGAAAACTGAGGGACTGGAGCTTGACGTGTATACATATGAGGCATTGCTTAAGGCATGTTGCAAGTCAGGCAGGATGCAAAGTGCTTTAGCAGTGACAAAAGAAATGAGTGCTCAAAAAATTCCAAGAAACACCTTTGTCTACAACATTTTAATAGATGGGTATGGATTATTTTATATCTTATCATAGTATAAGTTTTCACTCTACAGGAATTTTCCCCCCTTTTTCTTTCTTCAATTTTTCCTTTCTTTCCTTTTTTTGGGGGGTAAAACACAGACTAGGGATTATTTCACAAGGGTGATTTTATTTTTGACTTCCTCCTCTTTCTCTAATGGATTATGTTGTTACTACTATTTTATGCCTACTTATATTTTGCTGCTTGATTTTGTATTTCTTTTTTCCATGTAGATGGGCTCGAAGAGGTGATGTTTGGGAGGCTTCTGACCTCATGCAGCAAATGAAACAAGAAGGGGTTCAACCAGACATCCACACATATACTTCTTTCATAAATGCTTGCTGCAAAGCTGGAGATATGCTGGTATGCCTTTAATGATTCCTTTCAGTTGCTTCATTGAGGAAGAGGATTTTGTGCAGGATATGTTTATGTACCATGCACATATGACAAAAGTTCTATGCAGGCTGTCAAACTACCTAGGGCAACCCTCCTCATTTTATTTTTTTGTGGGGGGGCCGGTGGTGGGGCTTGGGACCAGCTGTGTAGTGACAAGACACTAAAACATGACACGAACAGAGTTAAGAGATGTTTATAATGACTTCCCAATAAAATTCTCCCTTTTTTTGATTCATTAATGAAATAGTACCTTTACTGATCCTGTCAGCTTCCATCCTGGCTGAGCTTATATTAGGATTTCATTGAACTTTTGAGAGGAATCATTTGACTATATTCATAATAAAATATGGAATAGTATGATTTTTATTTTTTTTACTCGCAATGGCTATATTCTTTTACACTTGCTAGTTCTTAATTTTTCTTTATTTTTTAAGAGTTCAAGTATACTTATCAAAAAAAAAAAAAAAAAAAAAAAAAAAAAAGAGTTCAAGTATATCTTATGTAATTATATGATGACTCCTTTTTCCTAACTCCATGACTAGTGATCCCATTCTATAAGTAGTAGTGGCCTGAAATGCTGCTGATAGGGGAATGAGTTTCATTTAGATTTTGTCTTGGAAATGCCTTTGTAATAAGTTTCATTTCTCTATTTATTTTCAATTGGCATCTTGGTCATTGGTGCTCGTTCATCTTCACCTGTCAAATTAATTGTTGTATGGGCATTAACAAATTTGACATCTTTATTTCCATCTAGATGGCTAAGATTATTGTTTGTTTACAGAGAGCAACAAAAACAATTGAAGAAATGGAAGCTGTTGGAGTAAAGCCGAATGTCAAAACCTATACCACATTAATACATGGATGGGCGCGTGCTTCTCACCCGGAGAAGGCTTTAAGATGCTTTGAAAATATGAAATTGGCTGGGTTGAAGCCAGACAAAGCCGTGTATCATTGTTTGATGACATCATTGTTGTCAAGGGCTACTGTTGCCGAAGAGTACATATATTCACAAATCCTCTGCATCTGTGGAGAGATGGTGCAATTTGGGTTGACTGTTGATATGGGGACTGCAGTTCACTGGTCAAAGTGTTTACGGAAGATTGAGAGGACAGGCGGGGAGATCACAGAAGCTTTGCAGAAAACTTTCCCTCCTGATTGGAATTCGTATGACACTCTTAGTGTGATTTCTGATATAAAGGACAATGATGATGGATCCGATATTGATTCCGAAGGTGATGATGATGTATATCAAGATACTGACCTTGACACTGACGATGAAGACAGCGACAATGATGATGACAATAACACAAGTTTTGACCATGGATTACAATCTTAGATCATTACATGTTAGTTTGAGATTTGAGTATGTCTCGGGTAGTTTTCCACCTAGTGTCAAATTAATAGTAGTTGCTTCTGCAACCTCCTGCATTGTATAGGTTGGCTGAGCTTTGAATCTCTCTAACCCAACATAATTTTCTTTTCCTTCTCTTCTATTTTATTATTATTATTTTTTTTTGTGAAATCTTTATTGTGATTTTCGTTTGTAAGTTATGCAATGCAACTCTTATGTAGTTTTTGTGTTCATATTTGAACTAGGATGTAAATTTGACATGTATCTAGAAGTTAATAAAAAGTTCTGCCGTGTTCAGTTTTGTTGCTCTGTTAGGAATCTGCTTCTTGTGGTATGTAGCTTAATATCAAGGACTTGGACCTTTCAAGCTCATGTGGTTGGTGGCGTGACATTAAGTTCAAAGGACTTCTGTTTTGGTATCATCAAGTAGGTAAAAATTGGCTGATCATTATGCATTAGATGTTTATGGAATGGAATACATACCTCAGTCTAGGGCTGCAAATGAACCTAGATGTTCATGAATAGGTCGGGCTCGGCTTGCTTCAGGCTTGGCTTGGGCTCGGCTCACTAGTAAATGAGCCAAGCCTGAGCCCGAGCTCAATTTTCAGGCTCGTTTAGTAAACGAGCCGAGCCCGAACAACGTTGGGCTTGGCTGGGCAAGGCTCGTGAACAGGGGGTCGGTAAGGCACGTTGAGGCTCGTGAAAAAGGCTCTGGCTCGGCTCGCTATATATATATATATATATATATATAATACTCCCTCCGTCTCAATATAAGTGTCACTTACAGGGAGTAGTAATTTTTAAGGGGACATGTGGGACACGTATTGTCTGCATGAAAAATTACTAATTTGCCTTTTTAAATTTTGACTATTCAAGTTTGAAATTGAAACTCAAAGGACTTTTTTTGGAATGATGTGAAATATATTATTTGAAAAAGGGGAGTGGACACTTATTTTGGGATGGAAAAAGAACGAAAGTATGACACTTCTTTTAGGATGGAGGGAGTATATAGTAAGTGACACATTAAAAAATAGGACTTAGCAAGTTAGCATAACTTGAACCCAAGACTTGGGCATTAAAGAATAGAACTCCTAACACTTCTACCAAGCCATCACTAATCCACTTTGTGGCTTCAAAGTACAACATTGATTAATATATACTAATATACATATACTAAATAGATTATCAAAGAATATTTTAACAGAATCAATAACTATACTACAATTTTTTTTAATCATTATCGGTAGAAATGATTATTATTTTAAATTAATAATTTACATATCAAAAGCTAAACCACAAGAATAATACTGGAGAATCATCATCATGTTGATCTAAAGCTATACACCACAATTTTGTTTTATTAAGTATGAATAGAAATCAGAATTGACTCTATAATCTTTAAAGACTCGTCGATTTAAGTATGAATGGAAATCAAAATTAAACACAACTTAGTCTACTTTGATAGGTATTTTGTAATTTTTAAATTCAAATATTTATCTATATTATGTTATAAAATATTCAAATGTGAATTAAATATGAATGGAAATCAGAATTGACTCTATGATCTTTAAAGACTCGTCGATTTAAAGTATAAATGGAAATCAGAATTGAGCACAACTTAGTCTACTTTGATAGGTATTTTGTAATCTTTAAATTCAAATATTTATCTATATTATGTTATAAAATATTCAAATGCGATTTAAGTATGAATAGAAATTAAAATTGACTCTATGATCTTCAAAAACTCGTCGATTTAAGTATGAGTGGAAATCAGAATTGAGCACAACTTAGATAGATATTTTGTAATCTTTGAATTTAAATATTTATCTATATTATGTTATAAAATATTTAAATGTATTAGTAAATTGCTGGGTCATATCCGAAGTGGATAATTAGAGTATGATTAAATAAGAAAAATTTGACTTTTTTTAAAAGGGAATTAAATAATTTTAAAGAGAAAATGAGGGAAAAAAAAAAAAAGTTAAGAGAATTTTAGAATTTTAATATTTTTAGAGGACATAATATATAAATTTTTATATATATATAAAATAATTTAAAAAATTCATATATATTATATAGGGTTGGACGTATGCTGGCTGCGCCACTCTCTGTCTCTCTCCAGTGTGCTTTTGTGTCTGTGAATCATGGCGGGAATGTAGAAGTTTCTTATTAAAAAATTAATAATAATAAAATAAACAAATTGATAATATATAATAAAATGAACAAAGTTGGCTTTCGCCGTCTTGGCAGACCCATAAGTAAGGTGGATCTTTGTTCTCATCTCATACACGTGGCCATCATCAACAAGTGGTCTTCCTTGTCTCTTCTCTTTCTGTGGTTTTAACACTTTACATTTTAAAGTTAACTTTTGGGTGTTTCAGCCAAAATCCTCCTTGCCTTGATATACTTGGTCAAAACTGAGTAAACGGAAACCAAAACGGCTATTAAAAATCCTGTGTGTATCCGACTCTTTTATTTTAGTTTCATTGGTTTGAGCTCTGACCATGCGGCGCTATGTATCAAGAGTTTTTGAGTGGCATCTGGGATTCAGAAGACTTAATCCAGTAAGTTTCATATACACACTCGCATATATTTCTGTGTGTGTGTGGATATATATATATATATATATATATATACATTTTGTAATGCTGCAGTATGTTTTGTTCTATATGGATTCTGGGTTTTGTTCTATATGTGAAATATTTACCTCTCTTTTTGCTCCAAGCCTCCTCTAGTAAGCCCCCATCTAAAGAAACAGAAGGTCCCCGATCTGATAATTTGTGTCAAGAGTATCATATCAATTTCTAAGTGAAATTGGTGAGGAAAAAGTATATTGAATTGCGTAATTTAAATTCCAAAATTTTAAAATCTGGCAAGAGAAGAGAAGCTGTTGAGTGGTGTGGAAGAGCTGTCTTTAGGACATAACAATTGTTTGATAAAACGTGCTTTTTCTGTAATCTTGCCAAAATGTAAGTAAATAGGCTGCATAAATCACTAGGGTCTGAAATGAATATAGATTTACAGATATTCATCATAGCCAAACATTCATGCTTGCACACCATATGATTGTGTCAATATATGTTTGAGAAATATGAGGACTGTTACCAAAGGCTCTAGTATGTCAAAGTAGATTCAATTACACCTAGAGGGGCGAAGAGGTCCTATGGATATTAATTTCTGACTATCTTTTTGAATTTCCATTAATTTTAGTTTAATATCCTGTTAATTAGTTAAACATTTATATCTGTTGCAATCGCACAAACATATAAAAGGAAAAACACAGGATTTAGTCCGACCATGAAGAATCCACTACGAGGGAGATATGCAACTAGGTTACACAGGTTTCCAACGCTAGAAATACCTAGTTACCTCTTGACTCAAACTTATGGTAGATGGTTCCTCCAAGGTCCTTCGTTTTATTTATTTATTTATAAGTATTCCTCCAAGGTCCTTCGTGTTGTCAGTCAACGAGCGTGATCATCCCTTAAGCTTGCCCTCCATGGTTGTTCAGTCCTTAGTTTTCAAGTTTGACCAGTTGATACTTCATTGTATGATTCTCTAATGTTCTCCTTGCTTTGAATCTCTCAATCACATAAAGTAGGATGGTCAATGGAAACCCTATATTGATTTTCAAAGCTTTCTCCATCTAAAAATAAAAATCTCACAAAGTTATAGAAAGGCTCAAGAGAATACCCTAGACAGATTATAAACCCATATCTATGGCCACTATAGAAGTCCTATGTGAAACAAGAATTTAATTATTTTGAAAATCTGTTTTGAGAGAGTTTCCAAAAAACTGCTCCCACATAGGTTGATCGATCAAGTCCTCAATGTCGGTGGATCATCTCCTCCTCCACTACCCCAGAGCTAGGGATGGATGGGACCCATCGTGTGCCATTTTTTGGATCCATTTGTCTTGCCCAGTCTGTGTTGAGCCTGATTGATGCTTGGGGAGGGTGTTCAGTATGGCCCCCGAGTAGAGATGCATGGAGGACTGCCCTCCTTTGTCTATGGTGGGCCTTGTGGAGGGAGCGTAACACAAGATCCTTTGATGGGGTGGTGGAGTCTCCTTGGAGGGCTTTTAGATTTTTTGTACTTAGTTCTGTGTTCTTTTGGGTTCAGTGGTAAAATTATAAATCTATGGAAATTCTTGTGTCTTTTGTGGCTAGCTTAAGGTTATAGGTTTTTTGTCTGTGCAGTTGTTTTGGGCCGCAGCCTCCTTTTGGGTGCTCTTTTGTGAATACATTATCATAAAAAGTTTTGTGGCTTTGCTATTCTTGGTGATGGCGACACATTGATACGAAGGTGATGGATACTTGCCTTGCATACATCAAGTGTTTCCTCAGTGACCAAATACTTGAACCCTTCTTGTCAATGTAGATGATAAAGGATTATATATAGGAGTCTTCACCAATTCACCAAGAAGGCTGGAAATAATTCAGTTCTTAATATATGATTCCATATATGCCACATTGCTTGCCATTTGTTTGATATTTGTCTACCTGGGTTATGTTGCAAACACATTTTCTAGGTCTTGGCTTCATTCTCTGTTTTTTCTTGACATTTTGTGCTTATGATTGAATTCATGTGTATGTTCTTTTTTTTTCTGGGTACAAAAAGCTATTCATGTGTATCTTGACATTTTGTGCTTATGAATGGAGTTCAATCTATTTTATTTTGATTTCTTTGAAAAAATAATTGAATCTATGTACTGTTTTATGATCCTATTATGCTCTTGAAAAATGTCCAACTGGTGAATTGGTTTTTTTATTAAACAATGATGTTTTGAGTTTTATCAGATTTCTTTTTTCCCCAACTGCAATCTCTTCCTTTGAGATATCTAGTTTATTAAGTCTACCAGTTTATCTATCTCTTGATTATGGTTCAACCTTGGGCACGAATTTCGTTGATACTGATGGTTAATTATGGTTTACTCTAACTGTTGATTTCTCTCAAAAATAACCGGTTACAACATGCAGGTCAATTGTAAAACAGGGTCATATTCCAGATATAATTATCCTCAAGGTTTAATAAGTGGCCATCTGGATGGATCCTTTTCCAAGATGTATGCGACTTCATGTGAAAAGTTATCAGAAGATGCACCAAGAGATGATCCAGTTTCTGACATGTTAGTTGATTCATTTGGAAGGCTACACACTTACTTGAGAATCTCCTTGACGGAGCGTTGTAATCTACGATGTCAGTATTGTATGCCAGCTGAGGGTGTGGAGCTAACTCCTAGTCCACAAGTACTGTCACAGAATGAGATTGTTCATTTGGCGAATCTATTTGTCAGCTCTGGGGTAGACAAAATTCGTTTGACTGGTGGAGAACCCACCATTAGGAAAGATATTGAAGAAATATGCTTACAGCTGTCTAACTTGAAAGGGCTTAAGACCCTGGCCATGACCACCAATGGAATAACTCTTGCAAGAAAGCTTCCGAAGTTAAAAGAATGTGGGCTTAGTTCACTGAATATTAGCTTAGATACATTGGTTCCCGCAAAATTTGAATTTCTGACCAGGCGTAAAGGGCATGAAAGGGTAATCGAGTCAATTAATGCCGCTGTAGATCTCGGATACAATCCTGTTAAAGTATGTTTGCTCTTGTCAACTTTTCCTTTATATGTTTCTGTTTCATAAAGTTTTGTTCTTTTTAGTTGCTCCTTTACTGATATATTATATTATTAATTCTCTTAGCTATGGCTTTCTGCTTAGTTTGTTCTTTATCAAGGTTTCTGTGATTTGTGCCTGAAGTATATGTGCTGTATCCCATTTGCAGGTGAATTGTGTTGTAATGCGTGGATTCAATGATGATGAAATCTGTGATTTTGTGGAGTTAACACGTGACAAACCAATAAATATCCGGTTTATTGAGTTTATGCCTTTTGACGGAAATGTTTGGAATGTTAAGAAACTCGTACCCTATTCAGAAATGTTGGACAGAGTGGTAAGGTAGAAGAACTCTGACAGATGTTTTTGGTTTCTGAATGCCCTTTCATACATATCCTAAATCATACTATTACTGAACAGGTTCAACGGTTTTCAGGACTAAAAAGACTTCAGGATCATCACACAGATACAGCCAAGAATTTCAGGATAGAAGGGCATCAAGGAGCAGTTTCTTTTATCACATCGATGACGGAGCATTTCTGTGCTGGTTGCAATAGGCTGCGACTTTTGGCTGATGGGAGCTTTAAAGTTTGCCTATTTGGCCCTTCAGAGGCGAGTTTTCTCTTCGAACTATTATACAGTTTGTACATGCATGCTATGTGGACTTTATTGCTAATTCATTTTTTAGTTTCTCAAATGTGAAACTTTATTTCATGTAGTTATTTGCAGGTACCATCTCTATGTCATTCAATTAACTTTTGCTGGTTATATCAGGCGTTGTTCTGTCCTCATTTGTTTTGCTTCAGCTTCATTTATTTGCTGGCTTTCTATTTCCTGGTTATGCAACATTTTTTGCCATAAAGCTAAGCTGTCCTTGTTGCTGTTGCGAACAAATGTCTTTTCTATTTTGGTAGCTTTACCTGTTTAGACTTTACAATCACATAATTTATTCATCTCATTGTTCTCGCTTAATTTTATGGCAACATTGTTCTTAATTTTTTTTCCACATGGATGCTGTCAACATTAGGCATATCATCAATCTTCCCTATATCTTTCTCATACTCTAATTTTTATATTATTATTTGTAAAAACTAAAACAAGTTATTAAATTAAATGGGAGGAGACTACTGGGAGACTGATAACGTTCTTATTCCCAGTTTGATCAATATCTCATTTCCTATGTTTTGTCACATGCTGCAAATCCTCAAATTCCTTTGCTTATATAATATCCACTCATACTTTCTAGATAATTTTAATTTTCTTTGATGAATAGCATGTATCATGGGACAAAGTTATTAAATCCAGATTGAGAAATTTCTGTTGTTTCAGTTCATACTGTTGATATTGAAAAAGTACAATAATGAAAGATGAAAAAAAAAAAAAAACACAAAAGAAAAAAAAAAAAAGATGTATGATGGCTATGCTGAAGTTCTGAATTCAAAAATTAGCAAAAGGTTGGTAGTTCTGGCTTTCGTGAAGCTTTGAATTTATAGTTTAGATAAGAGTTTAAAATTTCTTTGTTCCAGTCATGGTTGTGTCCTGTTGATCACTTGATGTATACATGGATTTAAACAAATTTTAGCATCTATAATCTTTAGCGTTTTTCACCTTTTAGCCCAACACTCTTAAAAGGAAAAAGGTGAATTGAAACTTCAAATGGATCCTGTTTCTGGATAGTAGTGCCTGGAGCTCTTGTTTCTTCCAGTAGCATGCTGGAATCAGAAAATAGAGTTTTGTTACATTTTTACAAGCAACTAGGTGTTAATTTAGGTGGAACTGTTCTACTTTTGTTATATGAGATTTACCAGAACTTGCAGCCTCTGTTAAATTCTATCTTGAGTTGTTGAATGCATTTCATCATTATTCTTAGCAGAGTTCATTCTTTGCAGGTTAGCTTGAGGGATCCCCTTCGTCGTGGTGTTGATGATATTGAACTCAAGGAAATAATTGGGGCAGCGGTATGCATTTGCAATCCTTTCATGAATTTGTCCACATTTGTGTAATGGAAAAGGTTGTAGTTTGGGTGAGAGATTGGGCTATAAATTATATGTTCAATGAATGGAACATATACCATCCCATATTGAACTTCTTAAGCATGCCTTCATCTTTTGTGCTTATATTGTAACTTGTTTTTTCATTTGTTTTTTTGGCAATTATGGTTTCAAGATTTCGTTTTTTTTTTTTTTTTTTGTCACCCTATGTTAATTTAAGCTTCCTATATAATTTTTATTAAACAAATTCTCAGAATAGGAATTTCACCTTCATTTAATTTTCTCCCCTTTCACCAAGATCTTTAGATTTTCCTTCTTAATGCACTGAACTTGATGGAAATTTCTAGTGTTCCTCTTTCTCAGCTTTGTAAGCTTGTACATGTTGTTCTTTTCGTCTTTTGTACTTCAAAAACAAAAAGGATTCAAATATTTTTATTGCTTCTTTGCTTCAGGTCAAGAGGAAGAAAGCATCTCATGCTGGAATGTTTGAAATTGCAAAGACACCGAATAGACCTATGATACACATTGGTGGCTAGGGAATGGTATATACACTTTTTCTAGACTTATGTATGTTTGTTTTTTGTTTAATATCTAGCAGTGGAGAAAATTTTCTGAGTTTGTTCATGTCATGCTTCAAAATACCTTGCTTAATTAATAGAATTTATGAGATCCCAATATTATTAATTTATAGAGATTATACTGTATTGTAATGGGTGTGTAACAGTAAGTGTGGTGAGTGTGAATTTTTTTGTCAACAACAAAATATATATATATATATATATATATATAGAGTGTATTGTAACTTTTATACCTAGTAAAACTTTCTCAAGAAATGAAAGAAACGGCTTTTAACCCCTTCCAGGTTGGGCTGCGCAGCTTCATAGGTCTGGCTAAGGCCGTGACCTTCGGGCCTGTGTGTATGTTTGTTATACATTTGATCTTGGGCTTTTGGCCCGTCTTTTTTCTTTCTTTCTTTTATTATTACAGTATTACTTTTTATTTTAGTAAAGCTCATATAAGGTTAGGGCTGCAAATGTAGCAAGTTAGCATAACTTGAACCCAAGACTTCAGCATGAAAGAATGGAACTCCTAACACTCCTACCAGGTTACCACTAATCAACTTTGTGTCTTCAAAGTTCAACATTTATTTATATATAGTACTACACAATCAATAATTATACTACAATTTTTTTAATCATTATCCGTAGAAATGATAATTATTTTAAATTAATAATTTACCTATCAAAAGCTAAACACCACAAGAATAATATTGGAGAATCATCATCATGTTGATCTAAAGCTAAACACCACAATTTTGTTTTTATTAAGTATGAATAGAAATCATAATTGACTCTATGATCTTCAAAGACTGGTTGATTTAAGTATGAATAGAAATCAAAATTGAGCACAACTTAGATAGATATTTTGTAATCTTTAATTCAAATATTTATCTATATTATGTTATAAAATATTTAAATGTGAATTAAGTATTAATGGAAATCAGAATTGACTCTATGATCTTCAAAGACTCGTCAATTTAAATATGAATGGAAATCAGAAATGAGCACAACTTAGTCTACTTTGATAGGTATTTTGTAATCTTTAAATTCAAATATTATCTATATTATGTTATAAAATATTCAAATGCGATTTAAGTATGAATGGAAATCAGAATTGACTTTATGATCTTCAAAGACTCGTCGATTTAAGTAAGAATGGAAATCAGAATTGAGCACAACTTAGATAGATATTTTGTAATCTTTAAATTCAAATATTTATCTATATTATGTTATAAAATATTCAAATATATTAGTAAATTGCTGGGTCATATCCGAAGTAGATAATTAGAGTATGATTGATTAAGAAAAATTGGACTTTTTTTTAAAAGGAAATTAAATAAATTTAAAGAGTAAATGAGGGAAAAAAAAAAATAATAATAAGTTAAGAGAATTTTAGAAATTTAATATTTTTAGAGGGCATAATACATAAATTTTTATATATATATAAAATAATTTTAGAAATTTATATATATTAGATACTGGCCAGGCCACGGGACATATGCTGGCTCCGCCACTCTCTGTCTCTCTCCAGTGTGCTTTTGTGTCTGCGAATCATGGCGGGAATGTAGAAGTTTCTTATTAAAAAAATAATACTAATAAAATAAAAAAAATTGATAATATATAATAAAATGAACAAAGTTGGCTTTTGCCGTCTTGGCAGACCCATAAGTAAGGTGGATCTCTGTTAAATAATACTAATAAAATAAAAAAATTGATAATATATAATAAAATGAACAAAGTTGGCTTTTGCCGTCTTGGCAGACCCATAAGTAAGGTGGATCTCTGTTCTCATCTCATACACGTGGCCATCATCAACAAGTGGTCTTCCTTGACTCGTCTCTTTATGTGGTTTTGACACCGTACATTTTAAATTTAACTTTTGGGTGTTTCAGCCAAAATCCTGCTTGCCTTGTTGTACTTGGTCAGAACTGAGTAAACGGAAACCAAAACGGCTAATAAAAATCCTGTGTGTATCCGACTCTTTTATTTTATCTTTAGAAAATTCCCAGTCGAAACCGAAGCAGTTTCATTGGTTTGAGCTCTGACCATGCGGCGCTATGTATCAAGAGTTTTTGGGTGGCATCTGGGATTCAGAAGACTTAATTCAGTAAGTTTCATATACACACTCGCATATATTTCTGTGTGTGTGTGGATATATATATATTTTTTATGCATATACATTTTGTAATGCTGCAGTATGGTCTGTTCTATATGGTTTCTGGGTTTTTATTTACAGAATCTTTAACCCATTTGTAATCAATCAGGCAATGTTTTTTTAGATGTACCTGTCCCTAAATTAAAAACCAGTCTTATGATTCTACAGCTTGTTTACGTACTTTAGATTTTAAATTTTTAACCCACAATTTATCCCTAATTTATAATTTTTAGCCTTTTAACAAATGATCCCTTATTAAAATTATAATGTTACTTTTGTTTATGTTAGGGTGTTCACAACCCAATTTGTGTCAACAGTGTTGTAGATATATTCAATTAAAAGAAAAAAAAAGGGAAAAAACACTATCAAGAACAAACAGATTTGACGTGGTTCACTCAAAACTAGGCCCTCTTTCACACACACACACTACTCTACACCTATAGACTTAGGGCAATATAACAAGTGCGGAATATACTAAAGTAGTCCCTCTAAAATACCTTGTCTTCTCATCGATCAAAGTTAATGTATCTTTGATCTATGGAAGATATTCCAGGCATTGATCGAACCCACACATTCAAGGGTCGATTGATAGTTGTTCAATTGTATGTGCTTCGTCCTGGAATGAAACGCCATGGATAGCACTATGACTTTTACTGTACATAACACTATTCTCTCACTCCTTTCCCAATTCTTCCAAGAAGCTCTGTAATTAAATCATCTTTTCGCCAGCTTGCGACATATTCTGCTTTTGTGGTTGAGAGATCTACAATCTATTGCAACTGAGTGACCCAAATTCATTGTCGTATCACCTAAAGGTGGGCAAATAATTTGTGAATCTAATCCGTGCGGATCGGATCAGATTACTACACTCACGGATCGGTAACAGATTCAAAAAAATCGAATCCATAACTCACATATTGGGCTATTAAAATTCCGATCCGATCGTGAGTTCGATCCGATCCGTGATATATATATATATATATATATATATATTTTCAAATAATATATTAGCTAATTTAATTAGTTAATGATAATTTAATATACTCTAAGGATGTATTAGTTAGTAATTATTTAAATATATAAATTAATATTAATAAATTAAAATTTTATCTATTGGGTTAGGATTAAAAGATAAATAAATAATACCTTAAAGATTACAAAATGCCTATCAAAGTAGACTAAGTTGTGCTCAATTCTGATTTCCATTCATACTTAAATCGACGAGTCTTTGAAGATCATAGAGTCAATTCTGATTTTCATTCATACTTAATTCACATTTGAATATTTTATAACATAATATAGATAAATATTTGAATTAAAGATTAGAAAATATCTATCTAAGTTGTGCTCAATTTTGACTTCCATTTATACTTAAATCGACGAATCTTTGAAGATCATAGAGTTAATTCTGATTTCTATTTATACTTAATAAAAACAAAATTGTGGTGTTTAGCTTTAGATCAACATGATGATGATTCTCCAATATTATTCTTGTGGTGTTTAGCTTTGATATGTAAATTATTAATTTAGAATAATTATTATTTCTACCGATAATGATTAAAAAAATTGTACTAGTCATTGATTCTGTTAAAATTGTCTTTGATAATTTGTTTAGTATATGTATATTAGTATATATTAATCAATGTTGTACTTTGAAGACACAAAGTGGATTAGTGATAGCCTGGTAGGAGTGTTAGGAGTTCTATTCTTTTATGTTGAAGTTTTGGGTTCGAGTTATGCTAACTTGCTAAGTCATGTTTTTTAATGTGTCACTTACTATATATATATATATATATAGCGAGCCCGAGCCTTGTTCACGAGCCTCAACGTGCCTTGCCGAGCCCCTGTTTACGAGCCTTGCTGAGCCGAGTCCAACGTTGTTCGGGCTCGGCTCGTTTACTAAACGAGCCTGAAAATTGGGCTCAGGCTCGACTCATTTACTAGTGAGCCAAGCCCGAGTCAAGCCTAGAGCGAGCTGAGCCCGAGCTGTTCATGAACAACTCAATTCATTTGTAACCCTACCTCCTGCTCACTTTTTTTTTTTTTTTTTTTTTTTTTTTTATTGTTTCTTCATATATATATATATTTATATATATATTACTTTTACAATTTAAGTTGTAAACTTACTATTGTTATTTTCTTCTTAGTCATGCGGTGGCGTTCATTTCCAACTAGATGTATGTTATGTTCTCTCTCTCAGAAAAAAAAAAAAAAAACAAAGGACCCTCTCTTAAAATTTAACATCATTAATCTCCATTCCACATTGCATGAATGAGACTTGTTTTCCAAAGGAGAGTTGACTCAAAATATCATATTTAATGCATTACTATAAAACAACTATGTAATAAATACATAAATATACGCACACCTTACAATGATCTTTTAGAGCTCCATGACTATGGCAAGGAATAATTTAGCTACCCTGCAAATATTATATAGTTTACAAGACCATACAATCCCCAAAACTGATTCTTGCTCTTTGAACCAATCGTTCTTTCACGTTTTTTCTATGTTTTTCCCATTTTTCAGAACAAATGTGTTAAAATATTTCATGTTACTCGACAGAGAAGTGTGGACTTGATGAATACTTTAACTGTGTGTTTACTAATTTCAAATCTTCAATTTCATGCCGCCGAACCCATTTTAAAAAAAAAAAAAAAAAAAAACTTTTAACCTAGCCATTTTCACTAAAGTCCTTTTGGACGATTTAGCAGGAAATGGTAGGATTTGTTGCTCTCTAAAGGGTAAAGTGAAAAAAATCTCCTTATATACCGAATACCGAATGTGTAAATAACGTTCAAAAAGATTGAAATACCTAAAATACCCTTAACATATAATAAAAATAAAGAAAACTTACACCTATTTTCAAATGTTAAGAATTTATACATACTAAAGAGTATAAATTCTTCAGCAACGTTCATTTATGTTTTTCATTTAAATCTCTCCATCAATCTCTCCTCTTAGTTGATGATTTGTGAGTATATGTACTCTTCAGCAAGGCAGGTGTTCTCTTGATATTATAAATGAGACTTTCACTCTTTATATACACATTATTTTCTCTAATGAACCGATAGAATGTATTATAATCATCAACTAAAATTCACTCTTTAGAACTTTTCATTCAACTATTTATTAATTTACCACCTCTACAAAATTCTCAACACTTCTAGAATATCTTTTAAATTATAAACTCTTACAGACTCTCAATATTTTAGAATCCTCCAGTGGCTTTCTTTTCTTAAAATTATCAAATGATAATTTTTTAAAATAAATACTAGTAAAAATTCATGTGTCAGGCATATTTTGTAGTTCTTCAAGAGAATTATAGATTATTAATTGTATTTTTAGGTCTTACAAATATGCTCTTTTAAATTACAAATTCTTACAGACTCAATATTTTAGAATCCTCTAGTGGCTCTCTTTTTTTAAAAATAACAAATGATAATTTTTTAAAATAAATACTAATAAAAATTCATGCGTCAAGCATGTTGTATGGGGCGCATTAACAAATTTAGCATCTTTATTTCCATCTATATGGCTAGGATTATTGTTTGTTTACAACAAAAACAATTGAACAAATGGAAGCTGTTGGAGTAAAGCCGAATGTCAAAACCTATACCACATTAATACATGGATGGGCACGTGCTTCTCACCCGGAGAAGGCTTTAAGATGCTTTGAAAAGATGAAATTGGCTGGGTTGAAGCCAGACAAAGCTTTGTATCATTGTTTGATAACGTCATTGTTGTCAAGGGCTACTGTTGCCGAAGAGCACATATACTCACAAATCCTCTGCATATGTGGAGAGATGGTGCAATTTGGGTTGACTGTTGATATGGGGACTGCAGTTCACTGGTCAAAGTGTTTACGGAAGATTGAGAGGACAGGCGGGGAGATCACAGAATTCATATGACACTCTTAGTGTGATTTCTGATATAAAGGATAATGATGATGGATCCGATATCGATTCCGAAGACGATGATGATGTATATCAAGATACTGACCTTGACACTGACGATGAAGTCAGCAACAATGATGATGACAATAACACAAGTTTTGACCTAGTGTTCATATTTGAACTTGGATGTAAATTTGACATGTATCTAGAAGTTAATAAAAAGTTTTGCCTTACTCAGTTTTGTTGCTCCCTTAGGAATCTGCTTCTTGTGGTACTCGCGTGGTTGCGTGACGTGACATTAAGCTCAAAGTACTTCTGTTTTGGTATCATGGTAAAACTTGGCTGATCATTATGCATTTGCTTAAATTTCTTGAAATGCTATTAGATGTTTATGGAATGGAATGCATACCTCGGTCTGCTCCCCTTTTTATTGTTTCTTCATATATATATATATATTACCTTTACAATTTAAGTTGTAAACTTACTATTGTTATTTTCTTCTTAGCCATGAGGTGCCATTTTGTATTGCTATTTGATGTTGCATTGTTGAGTTCATTTCCATCTTGATGTATGTACTCTCTCTCTATGACAAAAAAAGTACCCTCTCTTAAAATTTAACAGCATTAATCTCCATTCCACAATGCATGAATGAGACTTGTTTTCCAAAGGAGAGTTGACTCAAAATTTCCTATTTAATGCATTACTATAAAACAACCATATAATAAATACATAAATAAAGATTTCCATGACTATGGCAAGGAATAATTTAGCTATTATATAATTTACAAAACAATACAATCCCCAAAACTGATTCTTGTTCTTTCAATCAATGGCTTATTGGATTCTTTCACGTTCTTTCCATGTTTTTCCCATTTTCCAGAACAAATGTGTTAAAATATTTCATGTTACTTGACATTTATACATAGAATTGTAGACTTAATGAATACTTTAACTGTGTATTCGGCAATTCCAAATCTTCAATTCCATGCAACCGAACACACCTTAAGTTAAAAAAAAAAAAAAAAAAAAAAAAAAAAAAAAAATTTGGAACTTTTAACCTAGCCATTTTCACTAAAGTCCTTTTGGACAATTAAGCAGCAAATGGAAGGATTTGTTGCTCTCTAAAGGGTAAAGCGAAAAAAACCTCCTTATATATTGAATATGTAAATAGCGTTCAAAAAATTCTTACATTTACAATTTGTCAATTTAAAGACCGAAATACCTAAAATACCCTTAACACATAATAAAAAAACCTGCACCTATTTTCAAATGTTAAGAATCTAAAAAGTATAAATTCTTCAGCAATTTTCATTTATGTTTTTCATTTAAATCTCTCAATCAATCTCTCCTCTTAGTTGATGATTTGTGAGTATACGTGGTCTTCAGCAAGGCAGGGTGTTCTCTTGATATTATAAATGACACTTTCACTCTTTATATACACATCATTTTCTCTAATGAACGGATAGAATGTATTATAATCATCAACTAAAAATCACTATTTAGAACTTTTCATTTAACTATTTATTAATTTACCACCTCTACAAAATTCTCAATGCTTCTATAATATCTTTTAACTTACAAATTCTTACAGACTCTCAATATTTTAAAATCCTCTAGTGGCTTTCTTTTCTTAAAAATATCAAATGATAATTTTTAAAAATAAATACTAATAAAAATTCATGTGTCACGCATGTTTTGTAATACTTCAAGAGAATTATAGATTATTAATTGTATTTTTAGGTCTTACAAATATGCTCTTTTAAATTATAAATTCTTACAGACTTTCAATATTTTAGAATCCTCCGGTGGCTCTCTTTTCTTAAAAATAACAAATGATATTTTTAAAAAATAAATACTAATAAAAATTCATGTGTCAAGCATGTTGTATGGGCATTAACAAATTTAGCATCTTTATTTCCATCTAAATGGCTAGGATTATTGTTTGTTTACAACAAAAACAATTGAAGAAATGGAAGCTGTTGGGGTAAAACCGAATGTCAAAACCTAAACCACATTAATACATGGATGGGCACGTGCTTCTCACCTGGATAAGGCTTTAAGATGCTTTGAAAAGATGAAATTGGCTGGGTTGAAGCCAGACAAAGCTGTGTATCATTGTTTGATGACATCGTTGTTGTCAAGGGCTACTGTTGCCGAAGAGTACATATACTCACAAATCCTCAGTGTTGAGAGACGGTGCAATTTGGGTTGACTGTTAATACGGGGACTGCAGTTCGCTGGTCAAAGTGTTTACGGAAGATTGAGAGGACAGGCGAGGAGATGGGTGAAAATCACCTCCAGTAAAATAGTGTGTCATTTTTTTCATTTTGAAATGAGTGATTTAGAAATGGTCACGTCACCTATGTTTGGGATGCACAGTAGAAAAATATTGGGATACACCTTACGAAAATGTTGGGATGCACTTTTACTCAAAAAATGGAAGAAATTGACTACTGTGCAAATGGAGAGGATCCTTGTCTGCGGGGAGATCACAAAAGCTTTGCAAAAAACTTTCCCTCCTGATTGGAATTCATATGACACTCTTAGTGTGATTTATGATATAAAGGATAATGATGATGGATCCGATATTGATTCTGAAGATGATGATGATGTATATCAAGATACTGACCTTGACACTGACGATAAAGACAGCGACAATGATGATGACAATAACACAAGTTTGGACCATAGATTACAATCTTAGATCATTACATGTTAGTTTGAGAATTGAGTATGTCTTGGATAGTTTTCAACCTAGTGTCAAATTAATAGTAGTTGCTTCTGTAACCTCCTGCATTTATATAGGTTGGCTGAGCTTTGAATCTCTCTAACCCAATATAATTTTAATTTCTTTCTCTTCTATTTTATTATTATTATTATTATTTTTGTGAAATCTTTATTGTGATTTTCGTTTGTAAGTTATGTCAATGCAACTTTATGTAGCTGCATCCAAACTATGGGGTTCTTATGGACTCACAGACACCATCCTCAGTGACAATAACTCATTTATCTTTAGATTCAATTCATGTTCTGAAGCTGAAAAGGTCTTAACCATGGGTCTTTGGTCCATTACTGGGCATCCTTTCTCACTTATGAAATGGAACAAGCAAAATCACACCCAATAAGTCCACTCTGGCTGCATTCTAGCATGGGTTAAGTTCTTTAACATACCACTCAGATATTGGATAGCAAAAGGTCTCAGCTACATTGCCAGTTCAATTGGGGAACCTCTATATGCAGATGAAACAACATAAAGAAGGACAAAACTTAGATTTGCAAGATTGTGTGTTAACCTTGACCTCACCAAGCCATTGAAGAATGATA